AGGATTGAACACAAATCCCAAGCATCCACAAGGACACCAGGACACACAAGGAGTTTGGGGAAACGGAGAACTTTTAAAGCAAACTCTGTCAAAGCTAAAACTCATCCAGGCCGTGCAACACGCTTAAAAATTGTCGACTTTCGCAAGGCAGAAGAGTGGGGAGGGGCTCTAAATGGATTTTGGTCGCCACAAAAATAATTGAATTATTTACCGAAAACAGCAACATTTTTGGGCCAATGTGTAACAGATAATTTCATTAAAACAGTCCGCACAGAAGCTTCCGCTTCTGTTGCTGACACTGGCCTACACTGCGTATGCGCAATGTGGCTTTCTGTGGATTTATCTTGGACTTTGGCAGTCCTTCTGTGGATGTTCCGAGTGTTTCGTTTCGGATGTGTGTGCCCGTTTAATATGCAATGCCTAGACCTTCTCTCCCAGACAAGGCCTTTGTACAAGGAAATCCTTTTACACCACATTGAGTTTTGTTGTTGTCGTGGCTTGTGGCAGTCTCATTAGACATTAGGACACAGTTAAAGGTAGAAGCAGTACGAGTATATGATTAAAACACGTTGCGGCTGCAGTTAATTTGAAATATTTATGCCTAACGCTGGCAGCTGGCGGCAGTCGGAAGTCAAGTGTCAATATACTGGTACTCCCAGGTTTGCATCTCATTGGGATTGAATTACACAGAGGGGAACTCTTTTGAGAACCCGAAGGGGGAATTGAAAAGTTTCTGGAAAACCGTAAGAGATCCTTAAAGCTGCTTCTTCGATTTGGGATATCAAATCGCCCACAAAAAGTTTCCTTCTCCGTCTGCCAGGGTTTAGATCGCTGAAACATTCCCCAAACAATTAGCAACCAAAAGTGGGCCAAGCAAAGTGTCAAGCAGAGAAAACATCGAATTGGACTAACGAATTGAAATAGAAACTCAAATGGAAATGGAAATACAAGCAACAACTGTGAATGCGAGCAAAACAACAGAAAACTAAAAACGAAACTTGTGTTTTGCATTTGGTTTTTTCCTCTGTTGCCTGTTGACCCACACAAACCACACAGAGTCCCAGAAGGCCAAGCCTAGGAGGGGGAACACCAGCTCTAAACACAAGGGATCCGAATAGTCGTCGACTACACCCATGGATGGATGGATCATCAGATTTTGTTGATCTCTTCAACTGTTGGCTTGTAGCTCACATAAAATCACGAAAAGTTCTGCGCCTTTTTCAAGGCCAACTCCAAAAATTATTCCACCAGCGATAATGGGCTCCAAAATCCTAGATCCAGTACAGGGTGTCAACGAAATGAGCTCTAACGTTTTTTGTTAGTTATAATAATGCCGATGGTAATGATTTCAAGGGGCGAATGTGGGCGTGGTGTTGCATGTGTTGGAGCTGCGGTCAGTGGCATGGAGTGGAGCATGTTCCTGTGCGTTTGCACAACGCGGACAAGTGGCCATCTAAGGCTGCCCGTGGGCATACAAAGGCATTGCGGACGCTTGTCGTTTCGTCGATTCAATTAATGCGACAACTGAAAACAAAGCGAGACAACACGGCAGCTAAACAAAGCGCAAAGTGGACAAATCAGGGAGTTAAGGACCCGCCTCCACTCACGTTCAAGGGGCAATTACATTTTAATGAGAGATGCTTCCCCGACCATCCGAATGCTTGTCGATATATGCAAATTTGGTTGGGGTCTTGGTTGGGGTCTGGTTCTGGGGCTGGTGGACACACCTCGTGCACTTAAAGCGTCCAAAGGTCGCTTTAAAGCTAGCCTCGTTTAGATCTCCCCTCCCCTAACTCTGATTACATTGTCTGTGCCAGCGTCCGCCTTTGTATGCAAATTTCACGATTCAGCGTTATTAATTTTGAGCCCAGTTTACTGTGCTGGCTGCTGGGTATCCCCTATTGAACGGCCGGCACATCAAAGCGCGCCGGCTGACAAAAGCACACTCGCCTTTTTCATGTTAATATGCGTGTGCGCTTAAAAAACAAATACACATATACACAATATAACAGAAAATATAAACTGAAACGGAAACTGAGTCAAACAAATGTTAAAGGGACGCCCGGCGCTTTCAATTGGAAAAAAAAACCGAAGAATCCAAAGGAGGCAAGCGGAAATATAATGAGTTTTGCTCAGTGCCCAAAGCCAGGGGCTGGCCCTGGCCAAGAGCTGACACTCCTTTCACCAGAGAGGCAGAGGGAGGCAGAGAGTGCGACAGTGTGACAATGTTTGTATGCTTAAGCAGACATAGGCTCCGGGTCTAGCTTTGGCTTTGCCTTCCGTTGAAAGTCTCATAAAGTGGAGGGACATTCGCTTTGATTTGCTGTTGCTGTTGCTGTTGCTGCTGTTTGTGTGGCTTTTTCTTTTGCCAGTCGAATCCGCACTAACGACTTGCCAGTTGATGTCATACGTGCGGTGCGAGGACAACGACACCGTGTGGCAGCATCCAGTACTCGTATCATCCTCATCATCATCGTCACCGTGGACTGTTTGCCCTGTCCTTTGACTCAGTATGTCCCCCTCTCTTTAGGCAGCGTCACATTTAAAATCAATTTCATGGCCTGTGCCAGGGAGGACACAAACACAAACACACTCGCACACATATACAGACGGAGGGGCACGTGCCACAAGCCTGTCCCCTGTCAACCACAAATGCAAATATAAACATATGCGAAGCCCACAAAAAAGAAATCCCTTTCAAGCTGTAAATACTTCCCTCTTTTGGGGAAGGGTAAATCCGCTTTTTCTAGTTGCTTGACTGGGTCACAGGCGATATCCGTGCCTAAGAAGGATATCCTTATCCTAAAAACCTGTACAGAATTTACATACTTTAATTAATGTATTGGCAATAATTTGAACTGAGAACAGACACTGGTTGCTGCAGAGCATTCCATATTCGAAGGCCACCTGTAACTTTTCCGCATATTTATTTATGTTCCTTTCATAAGCCTTTGGCTCTCGAATGTACGTACGTCGGAGAGCCACAGCCACCAGGGAAGGTCATTACTGATAAGTCAGCCAATAAAGTCAGTTGGCCAGTCCTCACGCCAGAGCATTCAGTATACGCCCCGTGTTCGGGCGTTCCCCACTGTTCGGTGCAGTGTGTGGACAGAGCAATGCACTCCAGTGCTGGGACTTCCGGGAAGACAGTTCTGCTAGAAAACCCACAATTAAACATCTGGAAGAAGGCGGACTGCTTTAACTTATTATGCCATCTCGGGGCAGGTGTTCGAGCAGAGAGCCTCCTCATTCCAGAGAGCAATAAAACTTCGCCGCCTGGCCGTGGCATGCGGAATAATTCATTCGACATTTAAGTGTCTGCCGACACGTGCAATGTAAAAGTTTTACGCACTCACATACGCACACACAGAGCTGCTTGCATTATGTAATTCCGCATAAGCCGTTGAAGAGAGGCGCTGCCAGAAGACGCTTTCAGCAAAGTCCTTTGGCGGATGACGGATGACGGATGGCGAATGGCAAATTGGTCGCGTTTCATTTGCCGCTGCATACATACATTTGAGCAAATGAATCTGCATATGTCTGAAGCGTTCTCTGATGGCCAAAAGCAATCGATTTTCTTCTCCTTTTTTGGCAAGCGAAAGTGATTTCCTGCCCATTGCCGCCAAACTTCATCAAGGCAACATCTCTTATCAGCGGAGGGTTGGGAGGGAGCGGCTGCAAGCCTGGAATATCTTCCGGTTCCGCAGTTTTTGATGTCTTCCTCTCACTGGGTCGCAAAAGATGGCGCGTGGTGGGAAGAGGAGAGCAATGGAGTGCTCGAAGTGGAGCCAGAATCAGTAACGTTGCTGCGTTACGGCGTAAATGTTGCACGGCTCCCTTTTGAAAGAAAATCAATTGCAAATGGATACACACACTTGAACATTCCTCGGTGCATATTTGATACGAATACATGCATATGATCCTACATGTCTATATTCAACTCTGTTCAACTATGAATGCGAATTCCATGCATATCCCGCGAGATTTGGCACGTGCTGCTTCAACCATTCGAGCAGCCACAAATTCGGGCCTAAGCAGGTCGTAAAAAGAAACAATTTAGATCCCATTATAGCAGAATACATACGTGGAACGACCCACGTGCGGTCAACAGAAACCATTGAAAACGCATTTAAAAACGTGTGAAAAAGGGAACATTTTTCGCTGCATACTTTCAGGAGCTTAGTGAAAATTAGAAATCATATGAAAGGCCCAACTGGGGTAAGCGGGTACTGTTGATCCCATAAGAACTGCAGAATTATTTTCTTGACACTCAGAGAGCGGTGGGGCATGGGTATGGGCGCCGGTTGGCATAGCGATAGGGAGCGTGACAACAACAAAGGACCAGAAAGGCAGCTAACACAACAAGAAAACCGAACAATTGCTGTCTAAATTCATTGTGTGCGCTTTGTCTGATACGCGGATGGGGTATGGCAGGGGCTTAAAGGGGAAAGGATCACTTGGAGACCAACACACACGCACACTCGCACACATATCGCATTCGTGTCAATGGAAATGTCTATGAATGTACAATTTACATTGATGCCGCATTGTGGCATTGTCTGCTGAATACTGGTATATTCGTATTCCCAGAGCTATGTATATGCGGAAATATTGTTTATGTCTCTCTCTCGCTCTCTCTCTCTCCGTCTGTCTCTTTGGCTGCCTGCCCGCCGACAAACACAAACACATGTAAGTTGATTGTGTGCAGTCAAACACCTCACTTCCCTTTGCCATCGATAGCTGAAATGTTGTGGAGTGTGGAGAGTGTAGAGTGGATGGTGCGCGTGGCTGATGTGTGATGGGTTTGTCATTCGATACAGTTTATTATTGCCAGACGATTGAATGTCTAACCAGATGACGCTGACGTGCAGGATGAGGCATTGCAGTTGCCACAGTTGCAAGCCTCATTATCAGACAAATCAAATTTCTCATCGTTTCCAAATACAAGCCGCAATTAATGGGAATATGCAACTACATCCTATTTGTAATTAAAATTTAAGTTTTGGAAGAGCGCACAATATATTTATTTATCTGTTTAAGTGCCGTATGGAAAACAAGAACCTAAAACGCAGAAGTTTTAGAGCAACGCTTGAAGTGTAGGCATATACTGCTGCAGCACTGCTCGTCCTCAGTACAAGTCCTTCCCGATAGACGACAGCTCGCTTCGCCTTCATTTTCATTTTCGTTCTGCCAATGAACGAGAAAATGATCATTAGGTAACTTTTAAAATATTATCATCTGATTTTGATTCGGGTCGTACTCGGGTCAAATTGTTTGGTGGCATCGATTTGCGATTACCAGGGCCAGAACTGCGATTCCACGATTCTTTGAAACGCGACGGATTGTAGCTCTTGCTTCGTACGAAAGCTTGTGTTGTGCTTGTGTTTTCGGTAAGAATAATACCCAGAACCAGGGCAAGACCCAGTAGAACGAGTGAAACGATCGAAGTCATGCTGGATCTTTAACTATTGGAACTATCCAGACTGGTTCCTTTATATACACCTCTATTTTGTTGCCTAACTTTACAATCTGGTCTTGTAAAGCCCAGTTCTTTTTTTAAGTATGTTGTTATTCTATCTGTTTTGGCAAAAAACATATGCGAATAAATTACAGGAACGAAGGCGGTGACTAAATTGGTAGTCGGCAGAATACGCTGGGGAACATATTGACTGGGTTCATTTACGTTGTAATATTCGAAGAATCGACATCATTGAAGCAGCTACATGCTCATAATTCACGCCGGTTAAGAGACACTGGACTTACTGTGAAGAAAACCAAGTGATGGAAGATCTTAAGGTTTTCAAATGTCGTACCTACAAGATGGCACAAGGTCATTGTTCAGCAGCTCAAACAGAGCAACAACAGTGTTGACACACCAGGTTAACAGCCTGTTATTGCGCTCCGTTTACAGACTGTTACTGCGCTTCCCAAACAGACTGTTACTGCACTTCTTTAACAGGCTGATGCTGCTCACCGTTTACAGCTCTGCGCGAACTGCCTGTTACATTACTACTCTGCTTTACCAACCTGTTACAGCTCTTCGTTACAGCGCACTGTTAAGATCTGCACGGCTCTCCAGGGCCCTTAGCTTGTGAGCTGGTAATAATTACGCACCAGCCGCCAATTTGAACAGAAGGAAAATATACAGGGTACTACAAGTTACAAGTACTCATCGTTGGAGAACGCCTACATCTAAAACTTTGACCACCAATCCTCCTGCAAACAGTCATGACTTCTCCTTTTAACATTCGCCTTGGATTGGAATGTGTTTAATTGGCTACAGCAGTGGGGACACCACGCAAATCGAGTCCAAAACAAAAAGAATGTACTTTGAAAAGTATTAAGACTAAACTCCAGGGGTTAATCATAACGATCATCAATGTATAACGCCTTTCCCTATTAATAGACAACCAGAAGGGAATACTGGAGAGATGCCCGCAGCCGATCGTATCTACAACATTCACACATCAGATATTTTTCCGTTTAACTGCAAATATCTTCAGATAAAAAACGGTGCAGCGATATACAACGTAACTATCATAAGAGTAAAACATTTGAATTTAGATGTGCGTAAAAAATGTTTATAGTTTTTAGCTATAACTTAGAAAAACATATTAATTATTAATTTATATAGACATATATAATAATTAAATATAATAATTATTATTATTATAATAAAAAATTATCCCAATAAACCTATTTGATACGCAATTGAACTCGGCATGCACTTCTTTGAGCCAATTAGACATTTTTTGTTGCAACAATGCTCGGCTATGCTGCAATGTTTTCCATCCGATACGCATTTTGTAAAATACTCAAGGCGATCGTTCTGTGAAGGAAACACTTGGATAATCTATGAAAAGCTCACATTCCATTCATACCTGTGTAAGATTTGTGAGTAATGGAAAAAGGTCGAAGTCCCACCCCGGCCCGAACCCCTTCACGGGTTTGGGAATTCTGCCGTGGCGAGCGGTAGTCATCGTCGTGCTCGTGCTATTGCGAATTTTAGCTGTGGTCGTGGTAGTACTGATCGTTGTATTGGGAACGGAAGTTACGTGGAATCTCCTTCCAAAGAGACCTACTCTTGTTCTATTGAGAAGAGAAAAACTGCTAGCGGTTTCAATTAGAACTAGACCCAGTCCAAGGGCCAGTGCCAGTACCGCGGTTGTTACGATGTAATTCATGTTGAATGTTTGACTGATACAAATCCCCAGTCGTTCGTCTCTTTATAAACCATTCTGTGCCCTTACAAAACAATACTCGAATCAATAATGGTGTTTATAAATCACATGGTTTTCTATCTGTAAAAAGCGAAAAACATGTGCGTCTTGAATTATAAGAACTAGCGCGCTAGTAGGCTAGTAGGTGACTAAGTATGGTCCACAATGGTTGGACACTGGACCTTAACTTCAGCACAGGCCGGCAGGTTTTTGTCATTAAATTATTGATTTAATTCCAACCCATTAAATATCTAGGAGTCAATTTAAAGGAGGTGCACATGTTTGTCCCAGTCATACATTTTTTGTTGCAACAATGCTCGGCTGCACTGCAAGGCTGACCCTCCGAAAGACATTTTTCAAAATATTCAAGGCGCTCCATCTGTAAACGAAACATTTAAATCTGAACATTATTTAAAACTAGGAAACGATCAAATCCACATTCCATTCCTACCTGGGTAAGATTTGTGGATAGTGGCATAATATGATGATAAAACCACGCCTTAACCCTGCGCAACTTCTTGCGCCTGGAACCAGCGTTATGTACACGCAATTTGCGAGTGGGAGGCGTGCTGTTGAGAGCGCGTGTGGTGTCCATGTGTATGGCAGTCGTGGTGGCACTGATTCTTCTGCTGGGAACAGGAAAAGTGCTCGTGGTTTCAATAAGAATTACACCCAATCCCAGGCCGAGACCCAGTACCAAGAGAAAGACGATAGAATTCATGTTGAATGAGTGCCAGGCCCAGTCGTGCATCTCTTTATAAACCATTCTGTGTCCTTACAAGACAAGACTAGAAACAATAATCGTTTTTTAAAGCACATTGTTTTCCATCTGTACATATATTTTGCGAAAAACACTTGCGGCATTAATAAAAAGAGGCAGCTAGTTCGCGAATTAGCGGTGACTAATGCTGGGACTCTGGCACCTTATTTCCATTAAATTGAAAGTGACTATAGATGCACACTTGTGGCTGTCAAGCCCCCACCCAAAGCAAGACCATAGAAACCTTTCTTATGCGTTAATCATTACATTAGTATTTTCTTTATGGAAACCTAATTTTTAGCATCATTATGTACATAAGTGCACCGCTTCGCAGATTTTAGGCACATCTTTGTGCAACATTGCTCGGCCAGGTGGCACACGAGGCCAATCCCCACACAGATTTCGGAATACTCAATACGTTCTTCCTATTAATAATCAAAAGGGCGACACTTAGTTGAATCGTTAACTAACATTCAATTCAATTCAATTTCAATTCATACTTCTGTCAGATTTTTGCTTAGTGGCATTAAAGCGAGCCGACGACTGCCTTGTTTCCTGTCCAAGCCCATGCCATGCAACGGTCCATCAAATCTCTTGACCATCGAAGACATCTGCAGCTCATGAATCACTGGAGAACCGTTTGCAGCTCCAATGAGAATTAGTGCTAGGATTGAGACGATGGAGTTCATTTTGGCTCTTTGACTAATGAAACTGCCTGTTTCCGAACCTTTATATATGTCCCATTGGTACCCATTGTAGTGGTCACCAAAACAAAAGCAGACCCTGTTGTGTTTTCTTACTGCAGCTGTTTTTGTTATTTGTTTATTTAAGCCATAAGTCAACGCATCCATGTTTTCATATCCGAAAGGCTATACCTTTCGGCTATACATATATGTATATGACGGAGCTAAAGGAGCTACCAAGGTTTAATTGGGACAGCTGGGGCACCGCACTCCCTGGTAGCCACCAGGCATATTCTCGTGCAGCATTGCTCAGCCATTTCGCACGGTGTTCCATAGAGCTCGCAATTCTTGTTCCATTCAATACGTTGCTCCTATAAGTAAGAGCAAGAACGATCCTTAGATTAACTATAACGTGGCCCGCTATCTAGACCCTACTTACACGTGTCATGTTTTTGGACAGTGGCATCTGTCTAGGGGGCTTTCTCCGCTGGGAAAAAAATTCCGCCAGTCCGCCAAATTCCTTGATGACTGACGGTGAGTCCAGCTCATCAAGAACGGGTGCTCCGCTCGTAGATCGATTGAGGATTACTCCCAGAAACAGGACCAAGCCCATTACCAATAGTATTCCGCCAGAATTCATGTAGATTGTTTGACTAATGAAGCTGCCTAGTCCCCTAGAAGCCCCTTATATACAGCTCCATTCTGGGTCTGACCAGAATGTCTGACAAAAGCAGACACAACAGCAGTTTTTACATTTCCAGATGTCGCGAGGGAAACACATCCAACCCTTTGACACACATACACATACATATCTTTAATCAACCATCCAAAACCAGGCACAAGCTCCACCAGTCACAGCTATATAATAAAACATAAAAGCTGTATTTCATAAGTACTGAGCAATTATCAAATTTAAATTGAAAACCATTATTTGCTCTCAGAATAAAAATGTGAAAAAGAAGCCAGAGATCTTGAAAACTAGTATCTCCGTAGATATATCATTGATATGTCCAAATATCGTTTTATTTTCATTTTAAAATAAAGTGCATACTAGGTACTGCTATGATCGGGGAACTAATCAATAGAGCTGACGCAGAACAATTCGTCTGCCCAGTTGTCTAACGATTGATCGAAAAATATAGGTTTTCAAGCACCATCCAGTGCTGATGAAATCAATGGTGATTTGCAATTGGGAGGACAAATCAATTGCGATAACTGCCAAGTACCCAAGGCCTAAGACAAACCAAAAGTACATACAAAAAAACAGGTTCTGGGAGTGTACATTATATTCAAAATATCCTTTAATTAGATTTTCTTAAAATATAGGGACACCACATCGCATGTTTGCCAACAGGCATACTTTGGTGCAGCACTGTTCAGCCAATTTGCAATCGGCTCCTATTGAATCGCAGTCATCGCCAAAGTGCAGACGCTCATGCTGCCAAAAGAATTAAACAAAAAAGATTACAGACTCGTTAACTCTGATCAACGTTCAATTCATACAAGTGTAAGGTTTTTGGACAATGGCATCTGTCTTGCGGCTATCTGCGCTTTGAATCTCCTCTCCGCATTCGCCCTGTGATGCGGAACTCCGCTTGTAGGGCTCATGAGCATTAGTCCCACATACAGGACTAGACCCAGTACCAAGAGTGAGACGATAGAATTCATGCTGAATGATTGACTGGGGAACCACCCGGTCTGCCTTCTTTATATACACAACCATTCTGAAGAAAACCACATCAAATTCACACACAACAGCAGTTTCCAAGCTTTCAGATGTACAGCCAAAGGTGGAGCCTCATAGCCAGCCCTTGTACAGATGTTTTCCTAGCTTTTGTCAGTCTATAAGGCTTTGTCGAATGCTTAAGGCTGTTGTATATTTATCACACAAATCGGTTACTTTGTTGCGCTACTGAGATTTTTCAGTTTGGTGTTTTTAATACAGCGAAGTTCATTGTGGTGTTTAAAATGCAATACAGGGTTACCTCGATCCAAGACGGGGTCAGATCGAGGCTGTTGCCGTGAGTAAGCAAATATATGTAATATGTATGTATGTAGATGACAATTTGATACAGTGGGCATTGCAAACAACGAACAATAACAGGGATTTACGTTACTGCTCCACCTCTGGCTATAATCTATGGATTAATGGCTAAGATCAGGCCAACAAAATAATTTCTTATGTCTCAACTTCCGACGTAGGCGCACCGCCTTGTGGCCACCATACAGGCTTTGGTACAGCACTGTTCGGCGAATTTGCACACCATTCCCAGTGGCTCGCAGTCGTCGGCGTATTCCATACGCTGGCGCTGGTAATAATATGAAAGGTTTACATTCATACTGAATTCGATTAGACGTTACACTCTTACCCGTGTCATATTTTTTGAAGGAGGCATTATAAGGTTTGTCTTGGGTTGTGTCTTTGCCACTTTTTTGCGGGTGTAGGCAAACGCCGCTAAGCCGCCTATCTCCTTGATCGACGAAGGCGATTCCAGCTCATCGGACATGGGAGCACAGCTCGTAGGTCCCATAAGGATAAGTTGCAGAGACAACGCCAGTCCCATCAGCAAAAGTAAGCCGGTGGCATTCATGTGGATCGTTTGACTAATGCAACTGGACTAACGCTTTCTTTATATACAGCTCCATTCTGAGGGTGAACGAAATCAAAACCAGACGCAACAGAGGCTTGTCTTTAAGCACTTCGTTTTTATTGTTTGTTCAGCGAGAACTGTTGCGGATCGCATTACAAAAAGCCAATGCTAGGCGGCGAAGAGTCGGTGACTGAGGCCCACAATGGGTGGACTCTGCCACACACTCTGAACGGTTTCTGCGGCCACCTGATTCCGCCAATCGCCTATTCCTCTGAATAGGCTTAGGAACATGTTGGTGAATACTGTAATGTCCTCGGCGTTGAGTGGATTCATCTGCTGCCCGGGAACTGACGAAATCGAAGGAAGTTTGGCATCTACAGATGCCCCCTTGCCAGGGGGCAGGGGCAGACACTCAACGGGAATGTGAACCTGGACAGCCTGTGAAGAAAAAAACACGCGATGCAGAAAATTTGGGTGGACCAAAGTCACGTCTCGCTTACTGCAATGACCAGAAATATAATGGGCCACATTCTCATTTGTACAAGTAGTGTGGTGTCCGACTCGCAGTGCCCTGGCGATAGAATGGCTTTTAAAGCAACGCCATTGTTGACTCAATGACCCCGCGGCCCTAATTAACTGGGTTGCTTTGAGCTGATGGACCTCCCCGTCTGTTTGCCAAGTCAAGAAGTTGGGTTACATTTGTGTCAAGACGCGCTCGAGATAATTGAAAATTGCCGCTGTCAATATTTAATGTCAATGCTTCAGATACATATACTGATATCGATACAGATACGAGTAGATATATGTAGGTTATGCTGACATACATGCATCTCAGGGCTCCACTAAGGTTGTGCATGTAGCATGTGCTTGGAAAATAGGTTGCACGAGTAGTGCGTCATGATTTCGTTTGCGGGAAAGACAACAACAACAAATTTCCTTTGAAAATATGCACAAATTGTTCCCGAAATCGATTGCGATAGGAAAAGTCAAAAGGTTCAAAAATAAATACGAGACGAATTTGATGAATCCATAACAACGAGATTGCCGAGCAAATGAAAGGTTTTTTCGCTATGTACATATAGCTGACCAATGTGTTTTTTGATGCAAATCCCGCTTCGTTATATCTTTTGAATGTCGTATAGTGAGATATACAAATTTGTGGACCAACAGTAGTAGGTTCTCATGGGCAGCACAGTAAAATAGACCCAAAGAAAAGGTCTGTCGTAATAGGTTCAAATAAAGCGTTAAATAAATATTCCATACATTTGTATTTTACATTCGGATAAGCGATACTTTATTTAATTTAATTAGCTCTGTATTGTATTGTGCGACATCTCTTTAGGAACAACTGTTGGTCTCGACGGGGCAATAAGAAGAACAGCATTGCCGGCTGTACGTGCACTGGAGAAGGAATGTGTAAAGAGAGAAAGTTAGCTGACTCTGGCTCTGATACACTGACTCTTACCAGTGCACCGTCGGGCCTGCATGCACCCGACACCAAGGCCAGGATACCCAAATAAAATCCCAAACGGGCGATCGACAGAGGATTCGACATCAGCATGCTGACGCTTAGGCTGTAAAGCGTTGACTGAAGGATTATGCGCTGATTTTCTACAATTTGCTATGGATAAGCTATACTATTTTCTAAAGATTTAGTTAGCTTTGGTTATAAGCATTTACATAATATACCTGTATGTACACCTGTGCCAGTGGAAGTGGCAACGTTTTGTGCTGTTTAAAAAGCAAAAGCTATACAGCTATTAAATTCGATATTTCATTCTAGATAGATCTAGAACAATTCCCTTAAGTAAACATAAAGTGCCCATCCCATGATTGGTTTTTTTTTCGCTATGACAAATGTGTTTTTTTGAGGCGTATCAGCGTCAGTCGGCAGAAAGTCCCGCATATAGTATGAACATGTATATTTATTGAACGACGTACAGTGAGATACAAAAATGTGTGGACCGACATATCCAAGCGCAGTGCCCTTTACCGCTTTTAACACATTTACATTTACAGTACTTGTTTCTTATGTTTTCAATCTACAAAACCAGATCCGATGCTATAAGATAGATCCAAGGAAAAAGCCTGTTGTTATGGTTTTTATACCCGATACTCAAAATGAGTATTGGGGTATATTAGATTTGTGGTAAAAGTGGATGTGTGTAACGTCCAGAAGGAATCGTTTCCGACCCTATAAAGTATATATATTCTTGATCAGCATCAATAGCCGAGTCGATTGAGCCATGTCTGTCTGTCCGTCTGTCCGTCCGTCCGTCTGTCCGTCTGTCCGTCCCCTTCAGCGCCTAATGCTCAAATACTATAAGAGCTAGAGCAACGATGTTTTGGATCCAGACTTCTGTGATATGTCACTGCTACAAAAATATTTCAAAACTTTGCCCCGCCCACTTCCGCCCCCACAAAGGACGAAAATCTGTGGCATCCACATTTTTAAAGATACGATAAAACCAAAAACGCAGAATCGTAGAGAATGACCATATCTTTTAGACTGCAGAATCTGAATTGGATCGTATTATTATTATAGCCAGCATCAAGAAAACAATTTCATTTTTTCTCGCCCTGTCTCTCTCTAACACACACGTAGCATAGGCGCCTTTGCTTAGAGTAAAACATTAGCGCCTAGATCTCAGAGACTATAAAAGCTAGAGCAACCAAATTTGGTATCCACACTCCTAATATATCGGACCGAGACGAGTTTGTTTCAAAATTTCGCCACACCCCCTTCCGCCCCCGCAAAGGATGCAAATCTGGGGATATTCACAAATCTCAGAGACTATTAACGCTAGAGTAACCAAATTTGGAATCCGCACTCCTCTTAGATCTCACTATAAAACGTGTATCTCAAAATTTCGCCCCACCCCCTTCCGCCCACACAAAGGACGAAAAACTGTTGCATCCATAATATTGAGGATACAAGAAAACTAAAAACGCAGAATCATAGATAATGATCATATCTATCAGATTGCTGAACCTGGATTAGATCAGATCATTTTTATAGCCAACAGGAACAAATCAATTTGCAGTGGCTACGCAGCGCCCGACGTCACGCTCAGACTGATTTTCTGTCTCTCTCGCACGCACTCTTTGTCGTGTCGTTTAATATTAGCGCCGTCTGCTGGAGGAGAGCCATACTGGTAAGGCTAAGTATCGGGTATAACTGTAGAGTTGCTGTGTCCGCAGCAACTCACAACGTTCCCCCTCGTTTATTTCTTGTTTTACAAAAAGAGGTAAAGCGCTAGATGATAAGCGATTCGGATTTGCGATACTTTATTTCATTTTTTAGCTTTAGTGATCAAATGTAATCAAATCTATCATTATTCTTCGTATTGTGCGACATCTCTTTCGGTGACACACTTGTGAGCGTAGAAGTGGCAGCGCCGAGAGCAGCACACCTTGCCGACATGGCACTGGAGATAAAATGTGTAAAGAGAGAAGGTTACCTATGGGCTCGAGGTGAGATCCACACTGACTCTTACCCTTCCACCAATGGGCATGCACGCCCCCACCAAGCCCAAGATACACAAAAAAAGTCCCAAACGGGCGATCGACAGAGGATTCGACATTAACATGCTGTTGCTTAGGCTGTAAAGCGTTGACTGCAGGACTATGCGCTACGATTTTCTACGATTTGCAACGGATAAGCGATACTATTTTTTTAATTTAATTAGCTTTGGTGATAGGCATTTACACGTATGTATGTATCGAGAGAAATTTAGCTATGGGCTCAAGGTGAGATCCACACTGACTCTTACCAGTCCACCGTCGGGGCTGCACTGCCTGCCCTACTCCTCCTGTGGTGTCCGGACTGACTTCTTGTCAGGAAATTGATGAGCAGACTGCTTGGCATCGTTTTTCTGGGTACTGTTGGACTGGGGCAGCACCGCCCGGGAAAATGCACGGGCTATCTTCTTGGCGCAGACACTCAGGTATGTCATGCATTTCCTCGAGCAGCAGTCCCAATGCACCTGGCACTGAAACTCGGGTGTGGAGAGATGATCTCAGCTGGAGTAGGATGCATTTGTCCATTCGCTCGGCAACTCGTGGCAGCCGCCACCAAGCCCAAGATACACAAATAAAATCCCAAACGGGTGATCGACATGCTGGCCCCTTCAATGTAAAGCGTTGAGTGAAGCATTTTGCCCTGGATCGCGGCTAAGCGTAGTAGAGATAAACAGAGATATTCTGCCTTCCAGAGCCTTTATTTAATTTAATTAGCTTTGGTGATAAGCAATTACATATTGTACATGTATGTATCGAATTAGTAATAATCCGAGCTATTATTATTACTCGTTTTGTCTGACATCTCTTTAGGTGACACACTTGTGAGCGTAGAAGTGGCAGCGCCGAGAGCAGCACGCCTCGCCGACATAGCACTGGAGATAAAATGTGTAAAGAGAGAAGGTTACCTATGGGCTCAAGGTGAGATCCACACTGACTCTTACCCGTCCACCAATGGGCATGCACGCCCGCACCAAGCCCAAGATACACAAATAAAGTCCCAAACGGGCGATCGACAGAGGATTCGACATTAACATGCTGTTTCTTAGGCTGTAAAGCGTTGACTGAAGGATTATGCGCTACGATTTTCTACGATTTGCAACGGATAAGCGTTACTATTTTTCTATTTAATTAGCTTTGGTGATAAGCATTTACATGGGCTCAAGGTGAGATCCACACTGACTGTTACCAGTCCACCGTCGGGGCTGCACTGCCTGCCCTACTCCTCCTGTGGTGTCCGGACTGACTTCTTGTCAGGAAATTGATGAGCAGACTGCTTGGCATCGTTTTTCTGGGTACTGTTGGACTGGGGCAGCACCGCCCGGGAAAATGCACGGGCTATCTTCTTGGCGCAGACACTCAGGTATGTCATGCATTTCCTCGAGCAGCAGTCCCAATGCACCTGGCACTGAAACTCGGGTGTGGAGAGATGATCTCAGCTGGAGTAAGATGCAACTCACATTTTGTCCATTCGCTCGGCAACTCGTGGCAGCCGCCACCAAGCCCAAGATACACAAATAAAATCCCAAACGGCTGATCGACATGCTGGCCCCTTCAATGTAAAGCGTGGAGCTAGGCGTAGTGGAGATAAACAGAGATATTCTGCCTTCCAGAGCCGAAAAGTAGACATATTACTGAACTTTGCTACGGATAAGCGATACTTTATTTAACTTAATTAGCTTTGGTGATAAGCAATTACATATTGTACATGTATGTATCGAATGAGTAATAATCCGAGCTATTATTATTACTCGTTTTGTCTGACATCTCTTTAGGTGACACACTTGTGAGCGTAGGAGTGGCAACGTTTCGTACAGCACTCCTCGCCGACAGAGCACTGGAGAAAAGTGCGTAACGAGAGAAAGTTAACACTGGGCTCAAGCTGAGATCCACACTGACTCTTACCTGTCCACCGACCGGCTGGCACTGCCTGCCCTGCTCCGTCTGTGGTGTCTGCTTTGACTCCGTGGCGAGCGTTACGATGTCCACGATGTCAGGAAATTCTTTGGAAGACTGCTTCACATCGATGTCATAGATACTGTTTGACTGGTGTGGAGTCTCTAGGGAAAAGCCTTCGTCTATCCTCCTGGCGCAGACATTCAGGTATGTCATGCATTTCCTCGAGCAGCAGTCCGAATGCATCTGGCACTGAATACTCGGGCTTGAAGTGATGATCTTAGCTGGAGTAGGATGCAACTCACATATTCTCCATTCGCTTTGCAGGTGAGGCCCTCCCTCTCAAAGTGGGCCGCCACCAAGCCCAAGATACACAAATAAAATCCGAAACGGGCGATCGACATCGACATGCTGGCGCTGGCACTGTAAAGCTATGACTGAAGCATTATGCGCTGGATCGCGGTTTTATACCTAAGCTCAGTAGAGATAAACAGAGAAATTCTGCCTTCCAGAGCCTAAAAGTAGACCTATTGCTAAGCTTCTGCCAATACGTATGGCATTATGATTAAAAATACTTTAATGATTAAAAATTGTATTGTTTGGGGTGATTAAGGTCTTGACCGCGACCTAAAAGCAGACAAAAGTCTCCGCATTTCCATCCAGAATGAGAGCCTAAGAAAGAGCCTAAAAGAGTCGAACAAATTCTCTCTCATCACTAGGGGACTCGAGGGGAGCGTTGTGGCAACGGCAAGGGCCGTGGCTCTACATTCATACCCCATACTCAATTATTATAGTTATGTGAGAGCTTTTTTTTTACATCTGTCTCTTTTTCTCTCGTTCCCCTCGGACAGAGCGCGCACACTGCACGCGGAAGGATGCGTGTGAGAGAGAGAGAGAATGATACAAATTCGCTCTTATAGTCTCTAGGCGCTAATCAAGGCGGATAGGTGGACAAACGGACGGCTATATCGTCTCGGCTATGGATTCTGATCAAGAATACATGTATACTTATACTTTATGGGGTCGGAAACGCTTCCATCTGGGAGTTACACAGACATACACTACCACCTGAAATCGAATATACCCCTAATTCTCTTCGAGTTTCGGGTATAAAAAGGGTAATGAAACCGCGGCAGAGGGGGTGATGTATAAAGCCCGCATCAGGGCGTGAGAGTGAGCCGTTTTTTTTGTGTGCCAAGGACCGCACCGTGACCTGCCACAACTGTACCACTCAACGGCTGCTCGCTCGAGTGGCTCTCGGCCTGGAATGAGTTTGTTTGCTCGGCTGCTTGCTCATCGTGTGCCAGCGCTCTTATACGCATCGATCAGCCAGCCAGCCAGCCAGCCGCTTATCTTATCGAGGGAGGGAGGCTTTAGCTCTATAGGTACGAGTATAACCTGAACCCGCAATCGTAGCGGTCGCTCAGTTGAGTTTCGGTTGCCAACGCCGCGTGGTGGAACAGTAACAGACCCAGTCCCAGTTCCAGTCCCGGTCATCGATCAGTTGCCATGATTACGCCTTTGAGTGGATTTGCGGGGCTTGTGCTGGTAGTGGCGCTGGCCCTGGCCCTGTCCGGGGTCGATGGGTCCCTGCCCACTCGCGATCGTTCGCTGCGGCTGCCCAACGAGACCTATCCGCTGGGCTACGAGCTGCACATCTCGAGCAACATCCATCTGGGGAGCCTGCTCTTCAGCGGAAATGCCACCATTGACGTAGCGATCAGGCAGTCGACGAACGAGATAGTTCTACACGCCAAGAACCTCAGCGACATCCAGATTACTGTGCGACAAGTGACATATTCGGGATCCATGGAAGTTGTCGATGACCTTATCCACACATACAATCCGCAAGCCGCCTTCCTCATCATCCATCCCCGCGAGAACTATCAGGCCTTCGAGGCGGGACAGCGGTATCGCGTGGAGATTCTATACACGGCCATAATGAGATCCCGGCCCATGGGCCTGTACTGGATGGACTACGTGGATGAGTCGACCAATCGGACCGCGTGAGTAGCGCGCTTAGAGCAGCTGGTGTGGATTGGATCACTAAAGTGGACATTTCCGCTGGCTGTCATCGAGAGGAGGCACGCGCCTTTTACTTCCCTTACATAATTGGGAGATAGACCCCGGCGATAGCTGTGCACTTTGTATGGCTCATTTGACTTTGGCGGCGCTCTCACTTTTATTTTCTTTCTTTCCCCATCTGTTTGTTGTGTTTGGCTCTCGTTGTTCCATCGTTTTAATTAATATTTGACGCTGGCACAGACAGCAAGCGGCTTATCATCGCACATTTGGCCAGCTATCGTAGCAGCGGCGTCTCATCAGAATACACACTCGTATACGCGCCTATCAGAATCACTCATTCCGGCAGCGTTGCCGGGGTGACGATGTAAACAATACCACAGACACATATTCACATATAAATCATGCGAGTTGTGCAAGGGGAATTCTTCATAAGGGGTCATGACTGTGATCACAACAATAGTCAGCCCGCAGTGATTACGAACCGAATCTTATCAGCCCCCTCCACACCCCGATTAGTTTTGGGCGCGTGAACTCGCGGGTTTGTTTATTTTGATTTTATTCGAGCAATGCCCATTGTTGATTCCCTCGAATCTGGGAAAGTCGTACAATAAACCACAATTGTTCTGAAGACGTGAGAGAGAGAAGGCTCTGCAAATCAGCATGTCATACCGGCTGCCTCAGGCTCCAACTGGTTTTATTCGGCGTTCAATGATCTGCGAAGTGGGATTTTTTTGAAATCGAACACGATTTTGATTACAAATAATTATTATTTGGCTTTGCTCTTTGAATACAGCTTACAAGTCATCCGAATCTTTCGACTGTCAATGCTGCTGACTCTCCACTTTAAAATACTCATGAAATTCCCAATTCCCAATTCCCAGATATGTGGCCGCCACGCAATCAGAGCCGACATATGCGCGTCTAATCTTTCCCTGCTACGATGAGCCCGGCTTCAAGTCGAATTTCAGCATCCGGCTGACCCACGGTATCAACCACTCGGCCATATCTAATATGCCCGTCAAAGAGATGCAGCATCATGGGTAAGCCTATCATCTTAAAGGTGCTCTCTCTCCTCAGTTATTAAATTCTCTTGGTTTGCAGAGAGCTGACGACGACCCTGTTCGAGACAACGCCGCCGATGTCTACCTATTTGGTGGCATTTGTGATCTCCGACTTTGAGCACATTTCGGAGACGTATCGCGGGGTCACGCAGCGCATCTACTCCTCGCCCAGATCGAAGGAGAAGGGTCAGAGTGCGCTCAAGAATGCCGTGCGCACGGTGGCCGCTATGGAGGATTACTTCGGTGTGAGCTATCCGCTGCAGAAGCTGGATCACATAGCGCTGAAGAAGAACTACGGGGCTGCCATGGAAAACTGGGGTCTGATCACCTTCAAGGAGGGCAACCTCCTGCAGCAGGACACGGGGGATGTGCACAAGCGCGTCAAGGACAAGATCACGCAGAACCACGAGATCGCCCATCAATGGTTTGGCAACTTGGTGTCGCCCGAATGGTGGTCCTATGCCTGGATGAACGAGGGCTTTGCCACCTACTTTGCCTACGTCATCACGGATCTGGTGAGTCCAGTCTCAGAGTTATATCCCAAAATGATAAATAATGCAATTTATGATCTGTAGCTCTACCCCGAAGACAAGGTGATGGATATGTTCGTGTCGGATGAGGCGGACCGCGCCTACAGCTACAACAGCTTTTTCGAGGTCCGCCCGATGACCTCCTACGTGGAGACCGAGAAGGAGATCATGGCCATCTTCGATATCATCACATACAAGCGAGCCGCCTGCGTCATCAAGATGTTCCACCACGCCTTCCGTCAGAAGATCTTTGTGCGCGGAATAAGTCGCTACCTGGAAAAATAGTAAGTGCTAATCGGACTGCTCCTGGAACCGATCAATTGGAATTCATGGGCCAAAGTGTATCGTTCTTTCCAGCAAGTACAGCGTGGCCAACGAGCTGAACCTTTTCGACTACCTGCAAGCGGAGCTCCTTGAGGACGAGTATTTCCGGCAGCAGCCGTGGGTGCACCGGGTGCGTGAGATCATGCTCTCCTGGACGCATAGCGAATGGATGCCCATTGTGCTGGTGACTCGCAACTACGAGAACGACACGATCACCTTCAGCCAGCGGTCGATCCACTCCAAGAGCGAGCACTGGTGGATACCGCTGAACTTTGCCACCGCTCAGGAGCCGTGCTTCGAGGACACGCAAGCCGACCTCTTCATCCTGCCCCAGACGCAGCACTCCCTCACTCTGGCAGAGCTGAATCTGCAGCTGACCGGCCGGGACTGGCTGATCGTGAACAAACAGCAGACGGGCTTCTACCATGTCCACTACGACTCCGACAATCTTCGGGCCATTGCTCGTCAGCTGCAGCACAACCACTCGCTCATCCATCCGGTGAACCGGGCTGCCCTGTTCCGGGACCTGAAGCCGCAGGTCGAGCACACCGAGCTCGAGGACATCGAAGTCGTCTTCGATATGCTGAAGTACATGGAGCTCGAGGAGGATCTGCTGCCCTGGAAACAGGTGGCCGATACCATAGACTTTGTGCGACGAAATCTCTTTGGCACCGCCTCGCTGGAGCTGTTTAACGAGTTTGTGCGCCACCTGGTCACGCCCATGTTCCGGCGACTGTTTCGTGACAAAGCGTCTGGGGATGTGTCCAACAGTGCCCTGGAGGCGGGTCAGGAGATCCTCCTGACGGCCTGTCTGGCCGACCTGCCCGAGTGCCAGGACTATACGCGGAGCCTGGCCAAGGAATACATCTTCAAGAAGGTCAATGTGACCAACGAATCCGAGTACTATGCCATGTACGACACCATACTCTGTCTGGGTGTGCGCTACCTGAGCGACAAAGAGTTCTACGGGGTCATTGGCATGATGCAGGCTGCCGATCGGAGCTCCATCTACTACGATGACTTGATCTACTCCCTGCGCTGTACTCAGAGCCACAGCCATCTGCTGTACTACTTGGATCTGCTGCTGGGCGAGAACTCGACGCATCAAATACTGAGCGACCCGGAGTCAATGATGTATCTCTCATATCTGTACAAATCGAATATGGAAGCTCGGTCTGTGATCTGGCAGTACATCGATCGCAGCTACAAGCTGCTTTGTAGGTCGCCGAGCTTTGTGGAGAATTTCAATCAGATAGCCGAGTTTGTGCCGCGACAACAAACACCTCAGGTAGGATAAGCCAAGGATATCCCAAGGACCACTTAACCATCCATTTCCATTTCCTTTCAGTTTGCTATGTTGCGCCAGAGAATAGCTCGATACATGGAGGCACAGAGCCTCAACGCAGGTGAGGCACTGATCGACATCGACTCTGGCCTGGTGGGCAAGAAGATGAAAAACACCGAAGTCTTCGTCGACAAATACGAGCACAAGATCCACAATTGGCTGATCGCCGAGGTCCCGCCAATGTCTGTCCAGAACGAAGCCATTCATTCAGAGCCCCTCAGTGTGGGCAATGGCTCGAATCGCCCTCAGAGCCTCCTGAATACGGCCAGTGAAGTGGTTCAAAAAGCGTTACGATCCATAGATCGATCGTTATATAGATGATAATGATTTATTGCCTTAAGCAATGGCAGACTTAATTACAAATAAATTAATTCTAATACAACAAGTCATTCAGCGTTATCAATCAAGCACCCGCGAGCTTTCCACCATACCATCGATGAATGATAAGCGAAAATGATTTTGGCCCAGACAGAGATGTGGGGAATAGCAAAACAAGTCATCGTCAATAAATGGCTAACCGATCAACAGTTCTATATATATACCCTTTCCTTGCAGGCGGTATTGCAATTTTAACATGAATTATTTATGATTATAGTCTCGAAAAACGGCTTGACTGTTTTAGTGGGGTTTCAAGTACGTGCCGCATAAATCAAGTACAAAAAGTACTTATTCTTTCAACTAAATTTCTAATAAATTAAGTTAATACTTAAAGTTAATGAATCATTCGAGTGAGTGGTGTTTTACGAAACAGTTTTTGCACTAGACAATTACATTTTGTACCCATTTTATTTTAGTTTTAAGCTTTTGCTCAATAGTTCAATAGCTCAATAGAAATACTCGTCACTACACGCTCTGTGCCTAGATGATGTACTCCAAATTGTCTGATGTTCACCTGAAGAGATGGTTCTATGGAAAGGATCCATACGATGAGGACATTTTGCATTCCTTGTGTCCTTCCACAACGCTGTGGTGTTGTCTTCAGTCTATTCCAACAAACATCTCTGAAAAGCTTCGCAGTGGTGTTACAACTTCAAAAATATTGGCCCGGATCGTAATTAATTTGAGAGTATTTCAAGACTGGATCGACAATCTACAAGAACATCAGAACCGACCTCAGAATTTTTACGAGTACGAGCACCGAGGAAACCGATAATTGAGAGTTTTACTGCTTAATTGTTCTTTTTTTTCAGGCCGGCTAATGTGGTATTAGCGGCCAGCTATTTTATCGAGTGTTGTGCAACAATCTTTACGATGAATGCCTTAGACAGGATTAGATAAGGCGCTGTCCATAAATAAGAGCCGATCGCTCGGCGGCCACTCAATATTCAAGTGATTCTTCGGTGCAGCCGACATGGCAATGTGGCTGCTTAACTCCTCTCTGCTGCTGCTGCTGCTGGCAGCAGTCAGCCTGCAGGCCAGACTGATCCTTCCGCAGGACGACGGACAACTGGAGACCAAGGAGCAATTCTTTGCCACTCCTCGCGACGACATCGATGAGGGCAACTATCGACTGCCGAACAACACCGCCCCCGAGTCGTACAAGGTGGAACTATGGACTAATGTGCACAGCGGCGCGAGGGACTTCAACGGCAGCGTGCAGATCGATCTGCAGGTCCTTGAGCTATCCAGTTCCATCACACTGCACTACCGCCAGACGTCGAACTTCACAGCATCGATTATAAGCAGAGATGAGGTGGCCCAGGCCATTGAGCTCGATGTCGCCACCGACACCGTTCGCGAATTTCTCACCCTCACGCCGAAGTTGGCGACTGTCACCTTTGCCGCGAACACCAACTGGACCCTCAGTATCGACTACAATGGTACCCTGCGCGGTGATATGGGCGGCTTCTATATATCCAGCTACACCGACGATGACAGCACTGTGCAGTAAGTGAAATAAACGATCGCGATCCGAACGAGGATCTGAAATGAGGAGATCCTCATTGACTATTTATATTGCAGCTACCTGGCCACCACGCAGTTCGAGAGCACGAATGCCCGACACGCCTTCCCCTGCTACGATGAACCCGCCAGGAGAGCCAACTTCACCATTACCATCCACCACGATCCCTCCTACAAGGCCATTAGCAATATGCCCGAGGATGCGGCGGCCACTAGCTCTGGTGTTACCGCCTTCCAGACCACCCCGAAGATGTCCACCTATCTGGTGGCCTTCATCGTGTCCGACTTTGAGTCGACAGGCGGCGAGCTGAACGGCCTGCCCCAAAGGGTCTTTTCGCGAAAGGGAAAGCAGGATCAGCAGGAGTGGGCCCTGTGGTCCGGCCTGGTGGTGGAGTCTAGTCTGGCCGGTTACTTCGGGGTGCCGTTCGCCCTGCCCAAGCTGGATCAGGCCGGCATACCGGACTTTTCGGCCGGAGCCATGGAGAACTGGGGTCTAGCCACGTATCGCGAACAGTATATGTGGTGGAACAAGCAAAACTCGACCATCAACCAAAAGACGAACATTGCCAATATCATTGGCCATGAGTACGCGCACATGTGGTTCGGGGATCTGGTCTCGATCAAATGGTGGACCTATCTGTGGTTGAAGGAGGGTTTCGCCACTCTATTCTCCTACGAGTCGAACGATATTGCCTTCCCCGAGTGGAACACCTATCAGATCTACCATGTGAACGACTACAACAGCGCCCTGCTGAACGATGCCGCTGGCGCGGCCACGCCCATGACCCATTATGTCCAGACGCCCTCAGAGATTTCTAGCCGCTACAACACCTTCTCGTATGCCAAGCCTGCCAGTGTGCTCTTCATGTTCAAGAATGCCTGGACAGACAGCGTCTTCCGACTGGGTCTGAACAAGTATCTGACCAAGAAGTGAGTACCCCAAAGCACACATAGATAATAACCCATCCCATCCATTTTATTTGGACTAACGCACTCTTACCTATCTAGCCAATTCAACTCCTGCGACGAGTGGGACTTGTTTGAGTCCCTCCAGGAAGCTGCCAATGAACAGGGGCTCTCCCTGCCCACGACGGTGGCCAACATCTTCTCCAGCTGGTCGCAGCAGGCCGGCTATCCCCTTCTGACTGTCGAACGCAACTATGACGCCGGCACCTTCACCGTGAAGCAGCAGCGCTACCTCGCTGACAAGGATGCGGCCAACCAGAACACCTGGTATGTGCCCATCAACTTTGCCACAGCCTCCAGCCCGGACTATCGAAACACGAGTGCCTCGCACTACCTGCTAAATATCTCCGAGGTGGCCATCACAGATGCGCAGATCGCTAGCGACGATTGGCTGATCCTCAACAAGCAGAGTTCGGGATACTACCGCATCCTCTACGACAACCAGAACTACCAGCTCCTGGCACAGGTACTGGCCGACCAGCCGTACAAGATCCATGTCCGCAATCGCGCCCAGCTACTGTACGACACCTACATCTTCCTGACCTCCGGACGTCTCAATCACAGCACGCTGTTCGATTTGCTGTCCTACCTTAAGAACGAGACTGAGTATGCGCCCTGGTCCACTGCCAACACCATTCTGACCGTCTTCGATCGTTACCTGCGAGGCGATGAGCAGTACTCCCAGTTTACCAGTTTCGTGGTCCAGCAGATCGATGGCATCTTCAATAGGTTGGGTGTCAACGAGATTCCCGGGGAGCACTATCTGAACAACTATCTGCGCGTGGTGCTGATCAGTCTGGCCTGCCAAGTGGGCAGTGAGTCGTGCTACGAGCAGTCGGCCCTGAAGCTGAAGCAGTTCCTGCTGAATGGAATTCACATTGAGGCAACGATCAGGACGCAAACGTTCTGCGGAGGCCTGCGTAAGACGGAGGATGATATCTTCAATCTCGTACTGCAGAACCTAGGTGCCTCTTCGGACGCCACCGACCGCAGCCTGTTCGTCTCTTCGCTGGGCTGCTCGCAGGTTCCCTCCCAGCTGGAGACGTTCTTCTCGAGCTCCTTCAATGAGAGCAATGGCTTGACCGATAGCGAGCGGACTTCACTGCTCAATGCCGCCTACTCCAGGAGCGAGGTGGGTCTCACAGCCAGCTTGGATTTCCTCGAGTCCAATTGGAGGGACTACGCCCAGCTGAATGGATCCACGAAACCCTTGGATTTGGCTCTGCGTGGCATCGCTACCTATGTGGTTAGCACGAAGCAGCAAACAAGGGTAGGCTCAATGGAGTTTGGTAATCCTGTTTCTATTATAATTTTGTATTCTTGCTCTTTTAGCTGAACGCCCTGGTCGAAGATGTCAAGACCAATGGACCGGAGTATGTCAATGATGATCTTAGCACCGTCGTAGACTCCCGAGTAAAAGCCAATCTCGATTGGCTGGCCGTCCATCGTGATCCTCTGATCAGTTGGTTGGCTGCCTACAACACAGTCAAGGACAATGGCAGTCCCGCCCTGACGACATCCCTAGCCACGATCCTGGCCTCAGCGCTGACGCTACTTTTGTGGCAGTTATTTTAGGATTAGTCATAGTCATGTGCTCAAGTATACCCATAAATAAATTTAATTCATGAATCAACAGTAAAACTCTTTGTACGGCTTCAAAAAAGTACTGATAGGGATGGTGAATTCCGGCAGAATGTTTTTCCCTAGCCAGGACTCATAGTTCACAAGATTTTGTTGTGAAATACATGATTAACTGGATTGATGGTTTTATGCTCTTAACAGTTCCACTTAATCAGTATAATCTCAGTGCCATTGAGAATCCATAAAATCGATGGGGAGTTGATTGCTGATTGTGCGATAGTCATGAGTTTTAGTTCGAACCTTGATTATCAATTTGATATCTGCCACTACGGCCATAGTTTATGAAGTTCACGTGCCATAATCGACCAAATGACGCCATCAGTGGAACATTCAAGAAAATAAAAGAAAGAAAATAAAGAAGTTTCGAAAAACAAAACGAGCAGGTACATTGTGGGTCCCAGCTAGGGCCGTGACTCTACATTTACGAATATACCCGATACTCAGTCAGTATGGATCCCCTCCGGCAGAGGGCGCACACATAGCACGACGAAAAGTGTGTGAGAGAGAGACAGAAAATGAGTAAGCGTGGCAGGAGTTGCGTAGCCACAGGCTATCTGTTAGATAAGGTCAATCTCTGTGATTCTGAGTTTATAGTTTTCTCGTATCTTTAAGATTATCCCTATTAAAAATCTCAAAAGAATGTGTCAAACGAGTTAGTTTGCTTCCATTTCTAACAATAGATAAATGTTATACATGCCACACTATCGATTAAATCTAGTCTTAATCTAACATAAACCAATCTTAAGGTCAGCTCTACTCCTACTTTCATTGGTTTAGAGGAACATATCTGGTTTTATTTGATTGTGTGAATACTTTTGGGTCACATGTTCAATCTGCTGTCGTATTAAAGTTAAATCAATGTCGAGCTTTTACCAAATCTCTTTCTGATTGCCTTGTCTAATCATTTTCTGTCAAAAGAGCTTATTTATTGCAGATTAACTTGAAATTTTGACGTGTAATTCCAATTGATTTATTTTGTAGTACTCTAGTACTTAAAATTAGCGCCCTTCCGTCGCCATGTTTTTGAGACGACAACTTAAGTAACCATAGAAAGTATTCAAGATTATTCCAGAAATTGAAAGCAATTCGAAAGGATTCTTGAACGAACTTGAGTATGGCGATTGTTACTATGCGACGGATAAACCTTTCGATGTGCGGTCCGATATGAATGGATCGATATTCTCTGGAAAACGCCATCATACATACTTGAAGGTATTATCAGCAAACCACATGTCTGTCTTGAAGTCTAAGACGTATGCCTTATCTAACCATCGCAAATACGTGTGTTCAATGGCCAAAACGAACTATCAGATGGTACGAGTATGTGGATCCTGAGGCTATCGCGACTTGTCGCACAATCGAATCGTTGATTTATACCGACTATAGTGGTTTATAGCGGACCAGTCCCAGACACAATCTTGCCAATCATTGTTAAGGGTACACGAACGTGTGAACGGAACGCTTACTACTGCTCTCAGAAGAAATGATTAGCATGATTAGATTAGGCTTGGCCTCCAGATAACATTTTATATAGCACTAGGCCCCAGGCACTAGTCGAATGAGAAGAGATGGCTCGCTTAAAAGTGGGAGCACAGCAAGTGCCATCCAGTTATTGCCAAGTTGTCGCCGTGCCGTAGACAACATGACTCGCGTTCAGGTCGGGACAATGTCCGTGCTGCTAGTCCTGCTGGTGGCCACCACCCAGGCAGCCGTCGTGCGCAGCTTTCCCCCATTCGAGCAGCTGCAGAGCTTGGAGCATCCCAATCTCAGAGCTGTAGTTCCATTCGCCGACGAAGAAAACTATCGCCTGCCCAACGAAACGAACCCCCTTCACTACGACGTCTACCTGTCCACCGATGTCCACCTGGGCGACACGGGCTTCAATGGCACGGTATCGATTACCCTCGAGGTTCTGGAGGCCACACAGAGCATCGTCGTCCATGCCCGCCAGCTGGAGAACTTCACCGCCACTATCCAGCAGCTCGAGGTCGAGGCAGCCACCGAGCAGACTCTTACCTTTGCGTACGAGGCAGAACGGGAGTTCCTTACTCTGAGCCAGACGGGTCTGAGCTTCCCGGCCGATACCAAGTGGCTGCTGAAGATCAGCTACCAGGGCAATCTGCGCACGGACAACGGCGGCTTCTACCTCTCCACATACACGGATGAGGAGGGTAATACCAAGTACCTGGCCACCACCCAGTTCGAGAGCACCGACGCCCGTCACGCCTTCCCCTGCTACGATGAGCCAGCGAAGCGCGCCAATTTCACCATCACCATCAAGCACGATCCTTCGTACAACGCCATCAGCAACATGCCCCAGAACGAGACTGCCTCCAGGTTGGTATCCCTCTGGGGTGATTGGAAAATCTTGTAGCTAACCCTTACCGCACCGTAACCCATTCAGCTCTGGAGTAACTGCCTTCAATACGACCGTTAACATGCCCACCTATCTGGTGGCCTTCATTGTCTCCGAATTCGTCTACTCGGAGGGAGAGTTGAACGGCTTGCCACAACGCGTCTTCTCCCGCAAGGGCACCGAGCACGAGCAGGAGTGGGCCCTGACCACCGGCATGCTGGTGGAGAAGCGTCTGTCCGACTATTTTGGAGTCAAGTTTGCCCTGCCAAAGCTGGACCAGGCCGGTATTCCCGATTTCGCTGCCGGCGCCATGGAGAACTGGGGCCTGGCCACCTACCGCGAAGAGTACATTCTGTACAACCCGGAGAACTCGACGATCAACACCCAGACGAACATTGCCACCATCGAAGCTCACGAGGATGCGCACATGTGGTTCGGTGATCTGGTCGCCATCGAATGGTGGTCCTATCTCTGGCTTAAGGAGGGATTCGCTACACTCTTTGAGCATCTGGCTGTGGATTTGGTAAGATCAACAGGTTCCCAATCAAGTTTTATGAGCTTGATAATTATACCAATCTATTGCAGGCCTATCCGGAATGGAACATTTTCCAGATCTTCCATGCCGGCTCCTACCAAAGCGCCCTGATCAACGACGCCATTCCCACTGCCCGTCCCATGTCCTACTTTGTGCAGAAGCCCTCGGAGATCGGCCTGCTCTATGACTCGGTATCGTACGCAAAGGCTGGCTCGGTACTGGACATGTGGCGCCATGCCCTGACCAACACCGTCTTCCAGCGCGGTCTGCACAACTACTTGGTGGCCAAGTAAGACATCCTGGAGACAAGTTTTATTTAGTACGAATTAATCCATACTTTATCCTGTAGTCAATACTCGGCCGCCAATCCCAACCAATTGTTTGCTGCCATTGCCCTCGCTGCCGTCGAGGAGAACTACGAGGTGCCCGCACTCGTCTCTGACATGATGGCCAGCTGGACGAACCAGGGTGGAGTGCCTCTCCTGACAGTGGAGCGCAACTACAACGATGGCTCCTTCACCATCAAGCAGGAGGTGTACACCAACGACAAGAACTACACAAACGAAAAGCTGTGGTACGTGCCCGTCAACTACGTGGATGCCTCGAACCCCGACTTCCGCAACACTGAGGCCACCCACTACCTACTTAACCAGAGCCAAATTAGCATCTCGGATGCCAAGATCGCTGCCGATAATTGGCTTATCCTGAACAAGAAGTCCACTGGCTACTACCGCATCAACTACGACAGCCAGAACTGGCAGCTCATCATCGACGGACTGATCAATCGTCCCCACAAAATCGATCCCCGCAATCGGGCCCAGCTGATCAGCGATCTGTATCGCTTCGCCACCAGCGGCCGTGTGCCCCACGCCACTCTCCTGACCCTGCTCACATACCTGCCCAACGAGGATCAGTACGCTCCCTGGTCGGCGGTCAATACGGTGATCACTCTGTTCAACCACTACCTCAGCGGCGATTCCGATTACGAGAACTTCCAGTTCTACGTGGCAGAGTTGGTCAACCAGCAGTTTGACAAGTTCGGAGTGAACGATCTGAACGGCGAGCAGCACTTGGTGAAGTTCACGCGCAACCTGCTCATCAACATCGCTTGTCTGGCTGGTGTCGAGAGCTGCCTGAAGGATACCCAGGCAAAGCTGCAGAGCCTGGTCGATGATGGCACCACCGTCGAGCCCAACCTCCAGGCGCAGGTCTACTGCAATGGCCTCAAGCAGGCCGACGCGAAGATCTTCGACTTTGTCTTCGATAAGCTGATGGACTCCAACGACCAGGCCGAGCGTCGCCTGCTCATCTCGGCTATTGGGTGCTCACAGAACTCTACTCAGCTGGATAAGTTTGTATCGAGCAGCATTGACCAGACCAATGGCCTGCGCGTCCAGGAGCGCATCACTCTGCTGTTTCCGGCCTATTCCCGCGGAGAGGTTGGTCTGCTGGCATCGATTGACTTCCTGCTGGTGCACTGGGAGGAGTATGCCCTTTTGAACACAGGCTTCGGTGGCATTAATCCCCTATACTCTGACATCTTTGGCATATCCACCTATTGTGTGAACGAGAAACAGAGGCTTAAGCTGCAGGAGCTGGTGGACCTGGTCAAGGGCTCCATCTTCGTTCCCGACACGCTGCAAGCAAGCGTCGATGCCAATATTGCTTCCAACTACGAGTGGCTGAATGTTAACCGTGAGCCTCTGATGTCCTGGGTCTCCAACTTCCGCAACAGCAGCCCTGCCCTGAACATCTCCTTCCTGGCCCTGGTCCTGTGCCTTTTGGCCTCCAAACTGTTTTAGTTTCTAGTCCCCTAAGTCCTAATTTATAAGTAGTTGAGCTCGTTCGTTGGTCAGCTGACAGGGCCACGGCGAGAACTATTCATCAATAAAACTCCATTACATAAGACAATTGTTTCTGGCTAAATTTACAGCTACTCGTACGTTTTCGGGCACTTTATGACCGTGTATTGCCTGAAAGAAACCCGTCGGATAAGAATGGTGGGCTTATAAATTTATGGTTTGCTGGTCCCGCTGTCCCCCTGACCCCCTATCCCCCTATCAGCGCGGGTAAGTCCCTTGGCAGGGAACACCGCACGAAATCCATCATTCATAAGAGCGTCATAAATAAATATGCCGATCAACGTTCAACGCAAAAATAATCTCACCCATGGCAACCATTCGGTTAGGATTATATTTTTGGTTGCTGGAGAACGTCTCCAGCTCGTTGCTCTAAGGTTTTTTGATCTCAGTACAACTCCATTTAAAGTATACATTAAGTGTTACCAGGCTTGATTTACAATTTTGTTTCTTAATTGGTCTTTATCACAACGGGCCGAAGCCGGCCTAAGTGTGACGGGCTCCGATCCTAACCTAATTGGTCATTTACAAAACGAGACTATTAAATTTTATCTTATAGGCTGTTTCCACTTCCCGGAGAGGATTCCTGGCTTGCAGCACTACTACCTACACTATTAACAAACATATACTACTTTAAACTAATTGTAATTAGGTAAGACATTTTTGTAAACCTCTGAGGCCATAAAGACAGTGCTGGAGAACATCGACTGTTTACATCGTTTGAGGAAGAACTCCCACAAACTCTACAAATAAATTGCTAAAAATAAAAAATTAATATGAGAGAATTTTCCTGTTATTTCCTCGTCATAAAACATAAAAATTATACTCGTGACGCAACAACCTGCGTTTGCCAAAATAAACGCCTACTCTGCGTCACCGTCGATAAGTATTGGTCTTGACATTATCATATTTGCGGCAATAGAATAACGTAATATGGCCAATGACTGATTCAAAATGTTATCCTAAGGATATTACCCAGTTTAATCAGTTGTAGACGAACTCTTTAAGCGATAAGACCGTGAGTTCTTATACGGTTCTCAACATTCCTTGTCGTAATGGTTCTATTATCAAATTTAAAGCCTTCGGTGGTAAGGAAGATGCATTCAAATAATAATTAAATTCATGCCGAGATCCGAATGATTAGTGTTTTGCGATTCAGGTGGAGAAAGAGACAAAATATTGTATCATTAATGTAATTATGCCATTTATGTCAGATAAGATTGGGTGGACAGTTCTTCGTAAACCGCTGATGCTTGTGCAAACAGCAGTGCAGCTGAAACCAAACGTTATGCCATCATCTTATCTAGCGGAGTGATACTGCAGGTTAATATTTCAGGACTGTATGGATTGGTAGCTGATTACGGAAGGAGTAAATCACCGCCATGGAGCCTTATCGGGGCGATGTCACTTCATGCCTATCGCCGCCCAATCTATATACAGGGGAGCTCTATCTAGGCCCAAATAAAAATTTTAAGGCCTTAGATAAGCCGGTGATAAAGACAAAGTCGCCAAACTCCTCTCTATATATACCAGAACCCATTCGAAGCGGCATTTAGTTGTCGAATCGCGTGCAGAGTGGCGGTTGATTTATCGTCTACCCACACCCACGGCCTGCAATTTTAACCGATCAAAGTGAGTGCTCAGCAAGTGATTTAAGGCCTATTGTGCTCTCTGGCAATTTTTGGATACGTGATCACTCGAACCCTTTTGTCCCTCAGGCGAAATGTCTGCCCTGCGCTTGGCCGTCCTTGTGGCAGCCTGCCTGTCCTTTGCCTCAGCCGGGACACGGCAACTTAAGCTGGACGTTCAGCCGCCAGCCACCTTGGCCACGGCGCTCGCTGATTACCGGCTGTCGGAGCACATCACTCCTGTCAGCTACAACATCACTCTGCGACCCTATCTACTGGTAAAGGATACGAAGCGATTCACATTTGACGGCGAGGTTTGGATTGAGGTCATACCAAAGCAGGCCACGAGTGAAGTGCATCTCCACTCGAAAAATCTCACCTACTCGGTCTCCCAGTACTGGGCAAAGCCGGCGGCAGGTGTTGCGAATCCCGCGCCCTCCAACTTCCAGGCTCTCAATGTAACCAATTCGGATACTGATATCGTCGTGCTGACAACGGCCGCAAACCTTACGGCAAATCAGTCCTATATCCTTCACTTTGTCTATACGGGTCTAATGCAGGATGATATGCATGGTTTCTATCGTAGCTCATATGTGGACGATAACAACGAGACCAAGTGCGTTCATATCTAATCTGTGTGGGTGTAGATTCGATCTAATGTGGTGGATTCTTCTTTCAGATGGCTGGGCTCCACTCAGTTCCAGACGAATCACGCCCGCCGCGCCTTCCCCAGCTTCGACGAGCCCCAGTTCAAGGCCACCTTCAATGTCACACTGAAGCGCCACTACACGTTCAACACTGTCAGTAACACCCGACAGCTGGGATCCTACCCGAGCACAGAGAGGCAAGTTTTTTAACCCTCGATCAGCAGACGGTTTGCTTACCTTTCCAATCGATTCCCAATCCCGCCCGTCCCTGCAGTGGCTACTATGAGGATGTGTACGAGACGACGCCAAAGATGTCTACCTATATTCTGGCCTTTATCATTTCCGAGTTCACAGCCCGCAAGGACGAACAGTTCGGTGTGCTGGCCCGCCCCGAATACTATTCCCAGACCCAGTACAGCTACAATGTGGGTCGCAAGATCCTCGAAGAGATTGGCAAATACGTGGACCTGGACTACTACACCCTGGGCAACGACAAGATGGATATGGCTGCCATTCCCGATTTTTCAGCGGGAGCCATGGAGAACTGGGGTCTGCTCACCTACAGGGAGCGCAGTCTCCTGGTGGATGAGTCGGCCACCACTTTGGCCTCTCGCCAGTCCATTGCCGCTGTGGTCGCCCACGAGCAGGCGCACATGTGGTTCGGAGATTTGGTCACCTGCCAGTGGTGGAGCTACACCTGGTTGAACGAGGGTTTCGCCAGATACTTCCAGTACTTTGGCACCGCCTTCGTGGAGGATGAGTGGGAGCTGGAGAAGCAGTTCGTGGTTGACCAGATCCAGTCGGTGATGTCCATGGACTCGACCAATGCCACCAACCCATTGAGCGATGAAAATACCTACACCCCGTCCGATCTCAGCCGCATGTTCAACAGCATCTCCTACAACAAGGGAGCCACTTTCATTCGCATGATCGAGCACCTCATGGGCCCTGAAGATTTCCGAAAGTCGCTTCAGGAGTACCTAAAGCAATAGTAAGTACTTTGCAGGATCTCGCTCCAAAGTTTTTACTAAGGAAATTCTTTCGCCCCCAGCTCATACCAATCCGCATTGCCAGAGTATTTGCTGAAGTCCTGGCAGCAGAACTGGAACGAGAGCAGACATAATGCCAGCTCGGAGGAAATCTTCAATAGCTTCACTACCCAGGTGGGCTACCCCCTGGTCACCGCCAATATGGCCGCCGATGGCAAGAGTGTGTCCTTTAGCCAGAAGCGGTTCCTGCTGAAGGCGAACGACGGTGCCAATGCCAGCATCCAGTACACCATCCCAATCACCTACTCGAACAACCTCAATAACAACTTTGTCAACACCACGCCCAAGTTTATCCTCAATCCCAGCAGAACGACAACGGTCCTTTTCAACGATTCCCTCACCTGGATTATTGCCAATGTCCAGCAGACGGGCTACTACCGCGTCAACTACACGGAGGCCAACTGGCGCGCCATTAGGACTGCTCTGTTTGCGACTAATTGGACTGGCATTCACGAGATCAACCGCGCCCAAGTGGTCGATGATCTCTTCAACTTGGCTCGGGCCAGCTACCTTCACTACGGCCTGGCCCTGGAGGTGCTGGAATACCTTGAAACGGAGGTCAACTATATACCCTGGACGTCGGCCTTCAACGGTTTCAACTATCTCGCTATTCGCCTGGGCAACGACACGGCCAGCTTTGGTGGCTACATTCAGGACCTGACCAGCAAGGCCTACCAGAAGCTCGGCTTCAACGAGACCTCTACCGACAGTGCGCTGGACATTTACCTACGCACTAAGGTCCTGTCCTGGGCCTGCCGTTACGGCAGCGCCGACTGCATCCGTCAAGCCAAGAGCTACTTCAATTCCCTGACCACCGTGCCCAAGAATATTCGCGCCACCGTCTACTGTGTGGGTCTGCGCGAAGGTGGATCCGCGGAGTTCGAGGCCCTGTACCAGAAGTTCAAGACGGAGACGGTTGCAACCGAGGAGACTCTGCTGCAGAATTCTTTCGGCTGCGTCAAGGGCGATGCACTGATCACACGCGTCTTCAACCTGGTGCTTTCAGACGAGATTCGTCTACAGGACAAGTCCTCTGTTCTGGCCACGCTCTACACGGAGAACAACGAGAACGTCAGCCCAGTCTTTGCTCTGGTCACAAAGGAGTATGAGGCTCTGGCCACAGCGTAAGAATCCCTAGCCGAGCATGCCTAAACTCTCATCACTAACTTTGACATTTTTTCCTCCACAGAATGGGTGGATACTCGGCAGTGGCCACGGTCATCTCAAACATTGCTACCCGCTTCACCGAGCAGAAGCAGTACGAAGATCTGCAGACCTTCAACAAGGACCACAGCTCCAAGTTCGGCAGCTCTGCCGCTACTCTGGCTGCAGCGGAGGTGACAGTCCGGGAGAACCTGGACTGGTCCGAGGATAAGCTGCACATCTTCCGCTCCTATCTGGCTGTGCGAGGCGGTAGCGCCATGGCCAGCGCCTTCAGCGCTTTCACCATCCTCATGGTGGCCCTGGCCACATTGTTGCGTCAGTAAGCCCATGGCTAGACTTTAATGTCATCCACTTTAATATGAACCCATAAAAGTATTTGTACACTTAGCACAACCACCAATAAAAAACACAATTTTCAGATAAGATGCGACAAGTTGTATATTCATATTTGAAACTAAGCCTTCTCCGAGCAGCTAACGACAAAATCGATTACACTCAAGAGTTTGCCATCTGATTAGCACCATTAGCGTTGTGCTTTAATTGAATGATTCAATTCTACGAACAATCTTAACGTTATACCCGTATCAGCGAACTTTTATGTTGATTGTTATCGCTAAAGATTCGATCGTCATAAATTCGTATGAGCGCACAGTGGCGATCACGACGAAATGAGGGGGCAAAGGTCCAACATTTTTTTTAGGTCTTTGGATACGTTAAATGCACGCAACTAATAGAGAATTTTCCAGAGCTTTTAAAAATCAAACTCGGACTTTTAGTTTAGAAGATATGAGCACTCAAAGTGGAAAAATTTTTTCAGTATTTGTAACTTTTATTAAAATACTGCATCTTTCAGGTGGAAAAAAATTCTGTTCTTGGTATCCATTATTAGTTGCATTAATTCTTAGGAAAACTTTTTAAGAATATGGTCAGTTGTTTAAAAATACTTGTTTTGCAAACCTTCTAAAATGTAGGCTAGTTTTTAACTTTGACTGTTACTGACAGGTAATTGATATAGAAGCCAAACGGCTCCAAAGCGCAGAAAGGGCTTTTAGACTTAAGTAATAAATAGTTCAAAGAACATATACCAAAAAAATCTCTTAAAAATGTAGGGATATATTTTTGTAAAGTCCAGTCAAAGTTGAAAAACTGTTCAAATCCATATGCTCAGGTACACCCAACATTAGAATAATTTTCCAAAGCATTTTACATAGGAAAACATTTATCGACAACAAAGTTCAACTTGAACTTATTATTGTGAAGCTTTTAGACATTATTTACTTTATCAGATTAATTTTTTAAAGATTTTTCTTTCAAATGCAGTTTGTTGGAGAATCTCATGGAGATGTCTTTATTTGTTCAAAAGTTTGTAATTTAACAAGCTGAAACGGCGGAGTTCCCCACTGTGCGGCGTTGTAAACCTTGTCAGTCCTTTTGATCGCCTGTTAAGTTCGTGGAACTGATAGTTTAGGTTCTTTTTGGTTTCTCCGCTTTGTAGTTGAATGAAAAATGCTGCAGAACTCTTTTTTATTGCGATGATTCAATTCGTTATCTTTGGGGGGTTTCTTCAAACAAAAACTGTAACCAATGGGTCGTAAATTCATGTCAATTTTTTTTAACTCTTTTCTTAGAACAAGATTACGTTCTACTTTATCTTTATCTTCTTAGCAACGATGGCATAAAAAAAAGCAAGAATTTCGGCTGTATTTTAATGATATCATTCATTGATTTCTTTTATCGTTCGATGTCATAAGTTCATATCTATATCGTTAAACGTATTGCCGACTTGAAGTTAATTGATTTATATTATTGCTATCAATCAATTAAAACGAGATATTCACGAACGCGAAAGAAGAGCTGGGAGTATCTGATCGCTGTTCATGAAACACACGAAAAATAAAGAGAGGTGTGGCTGGCTGCATGCCTAATCGGATCAATGTCGTAGAGTCCATAATCTAATCATCAGTGAACGACACCTGTGTTCGGGGGACTTTTATTTGAGTTTTCGACGTTCGGTGCGAGTTCTGTTCATTCCTCAGTACCAAAGCTTCTGTCGTCATGAACGGATGGGGAAAACGGACTGGCTTGCGGTTGGGGCTGGCGCTGCTGCTGATAGGCGTCTGTGCTGGTGCCGATTACCGACTGGGAGGCAGCGTTGTGCCCTCCTTCTATAACCTTACCATCGACGTACTCAGTAATGCCGATGAACCGACTGTTTTCAATGGAGAAGTCAGCATAGCTGTGCAGGTGGTTGGCACCGCAGAGGTTCGGCAAATCACACTACACAAAGACGCCATCGACATAGAAGAATGCTGGCTATACAACGAGTCCGGGGATCAAGTGCAGCCGATAGATAGCAGTCAGCTGACATATGAGGAGGCGACCCAGCAACTGACGGTGCCATTATCTCAGGCACTGGCCAATGGGGCTTACACGCTGGGGTTCAAGTATACCGGTAAAATACGTACGGACATGGCGGGACTGTTCTCCGCCAGCTACGTGGAGCAGGACACAGGCAAGACCAAGTGGCTGGCTGTAACCCAAATGCAGAGAATCAATGCTCGCCTAGTGTTTCCCTGCTTTGATGAGCCTGCCTTCAAGGCACAGTTCCAGTTGCAAATCGTCAGACCCTCCGGCTATGAAGCTATTAGCAACACGAAGCTATTATATTCATCAGCGGAAAGGTGAGTACCGAACTGCCTCAATGTCTCGCCAAATGTATACAAATGTCATTTGACTTTAGCAAGGATCGCTTTGTCGATCACTTCGAGGTGACTCCCGCCATGTCCACATATCTGCTGGCCTTCATTATCGCCGAGTACACGGCACGCGGAAATGTCAGCGAATTTGCAGTGCTGACACGCCCAGAATTTTACAACAAAACGGAGTTCAGCTTCCAAGTTGGACAGCGGGTGGTAGCCGCCTATGATGAACTTTTCCAGCAGCCGTACGCCTCTCTGGGCAACGATGTCCTGCAGTACGCCACATCCCCGCGGTTCCCTCACAATGGCATGGAGAACTGGGGGCTTATTATCTACAGGTGAGTAGAAAGAACGAAGAATTAAGAACGAGTATCAAGAGTATGGAATCTTTACTTCTCTTTATCAAAGCGACGATGTTTTGGTCAAGGAACCAGGCTACACGGATGGCTGGTCGGACAAGGAGTTCACAATACGGATTATAGCCCACGAGACGTCGCATATGTGGTTTGGTGACAGCGTCACCTTCTCCTGGTGGAGCTACTTCTGGCTAAATGAAGCCTTTGCCCGCTACTACGAGTACTTCATGGCACATCAGGTGAGACAAGGGTCTTCACAAAATTATAAGACAAGCAGCGCTAATGCATCCGACTCCCATATATATGCAGCTCTATCCTGAGTATCGGTTAGATGAGCAATTTGTGGTGCGACAAATGCAGCTTATTTTTGCCACAGATGCAGTGAACAGCACACAGCCCATGACAAGCCCGGAGGCGAGCATCCAGACGCCTTCACAGATTGGCTACAAGTTCAGCAGCATTGCCTATGCGAAGGGAGCGTGCATTGTCCGTATGTGGCGCAATGTGATGGGGGCCAATAACTTCGATACAGCCATCCGGAACTACCTAAAGCAGAAGTAAGTGACAGACAACACGTGATCCAAACTCTGACTTTCTTCTCTCGGCAGCCACTTGGGCAATACAAGGCCAAACGATTTGTTTAACCACCTTATCAAAAACTGGCCCGCGGACCAGTATGTTAATCAGGAGCACTTTTTGTCCGACTTCACAGAGCAAGTGGGCTATCCCATGCTGATAGTGAATGCGTCACGGAACAACCACGTCGTCTACGTGGAGCAACAGCGTTTCCTCCTCAATCGCGGGGACGGAAGCGATCCCGATCTGAGGTACACAGTGCCCATAACCTATGCTACGAATCTGGCGCCCGACTTCGAGAACCTTACGCCCAAAATCTACCACCATAAGCCTGTGAACCTAGTAGAACTTTCCTTCGAAGAGGAGGCCATCGATTGGATCGTCCTCAACCTGAAGCAGTCCAACTATTATCGGGTGCTCTACGATAAGCCTCTTTTGGACAGTCTTCAGGTGGCCCTGTCCTCCTCCAACCACAGTGGCGTGCCCGTGGAGAACCGGGCCCAGATTGTCGACGATCTTTTCAACTTCGCTCGTGTGGGCTACATCGACTACGCGAATGTGTTCGAATTCATGGAGTACCTAAGCCAGGACGTCGATTATGTGCCCTGGTACGCCACGTACCAAGGACTACAGTTCGTTGCAAAGCGTCTACCACTGAATAATTTGCCAAACTTCAAAAAGTACCTCAGCGACATCACAGATGCAGTTTTTGCCAAGCTGGGTGTAACCTGGAGTCCCGACGACACAGTGCTGGATGTCTACAATCGAAACAATCTTGTGGGTTGGCTGTGCAGGTACCAGGCCAGAGATTGCAACCAATTGGTGGCGGATACATTCACCAACGACTTCGCGAAACCTTCGCCTGACTACCGGCAGACCTTCTACTGCGCTGCCGCCCGATCCGAGAGCTACAAGCAAGTGATGCAGTTCTATCGAGAAGAGACCAATCCCAAGGAGCGAGAACTCCTCTGGGCAGCTGCCAGCTGTACGAGGTCCTATTTGGCACACTACCAAAACGAGATACTAGCCAACGGCAGCACAGTGAGCCAAAAGACCATTGCTCTGGCCCAGATGTACGAACAGAATCCTGACCTAATCAATCAGATTTTCAATATGTTGGCCGCGAACATCACACAGTTGGCTGAAGCGTAAGTTTCAGTGTACCTAAAGAGATATTTTTGTTGAGCTTAAACGAGCTTGGTTTTTCCACAGCTTGGACAACGACTGGTCAACAACTGCCGTAGTGATAAGCGATCTGGCGGAGTACTTCACCACCCGAGAGCAGTACCAACTGCTGAGCAATTTCTACGATAGCAATCACTTGCTCTTTGGCCAGTCGGCATCTGTGCTGAGCAAGGCTCTGGAGACGGTTGACCAAAACGTGCAATGGGCCGAGATGCGCCTGGACAGACTGGCCTACTACTTGAGCAAAAGGAATGGCGGACAGCAGTCGGCCCAAGTGCTTGTGATGCTGTTGACGTTGCCCATGCTATTGGCCTGGCTCTGATATTTTGTGATTAAGTATAGGAAATAAATGATTAACCCTCCGTCAGGCACAGCGGGATAAATGCTTTTTTCTTGTACGCAATTACTAGGCAAAAAGGTTTGGTTAGTGCCCGCTTTATTAGGCCATAATTCATACGGCAAAGCGGCCATTAGAGCGGCGTCCACTGGCGGCGGCACCAGCCATGCGAGCCACCTCTATAAAAGACCCAAAGCGGCAGGCAGCGTTTTCCATTTCCTGTAGCGGAGAATCACGGCAGTGTCACCGAAAATGTTGCGCCACTTGCTACGCCACGAGAACAACAAAGTGTTTGTCCTGATTCTACTGTACTGCGTCCTGGTCAGCATACTGAAGCTGTGCACCGCTCAGGGTGACAATGCCGTGGCCCCACCGGAAAATGGTACACGCTATACACACATTAGTTATCGCTTTTGACTTACCCGCTCTGCTCCTTCTGCGTCCATTGCAGACATCACGCATCTCGGCGATGACTGCCAGGTGACGCCAGTAATACATGTGCTCCAGTATCCTGGCTGCGTTCCAAAGCCGATTCCATCATTCGCCTGTGTGGGTCGCTGCGCCAGTTACATCCAGGTGAGCACCTTTTGGTTGTGCGAGGCACAAAATTAAACCTCTCTACACGGATATCTCAGGTATCGGGAAGCAAAATCTGGCAGATGGAACGCTCCTGCATGTGCTGCCAGGAATCTGGCGAGCGCGAGGCAGCAGTCTCGCTCTTCTGTCCCAAGGTGAAGCCGGGCGAGCGGAAATTCAAGAAGGTGCTGACCAAGGCGCCATTGGAGTGCATGTGCCGTCCGTGCACTTCCATCGAGGAGTCTGGCATTATACCGCAAGAGATAGCCGGCTATTCGGACGAGGGTCCCCTCAACAATCATTTCCGACGCATTGCACTGCAGTAGAGGTAGAGCACATCACAATCACATTCAACTTTGCATAGTAAAATATAAAAATAAACTACATTTGTCGCAGGTTCTTGTTAATATTTATGTCATATTTTAAAAACTGAGCTTTGCTTTTCCAAATTTGGTTAAAAGCGATGGCCAAAAATACTTTGAAGTCGACCGCAAAATTTGGTTCCCTGAACCGAACTATGTTATGCTGCTTTCGCGCCTAACAGCACCTCATTCTACTTTATACACGTAGAGTAACATGGATTCTACCCCAAATGGAATTTCTACGTAGCTTTTACTTGCATTCTACATTAAAAAATGTTAATGTTAGCATAGAAAATGGCGCTTACAGCACACATTGATTGGAGCACTGTTATGCATGTTATTTAGCCGTTTTGTTTGAATGAATATTTTTAGTTTTAATTTATTTCTCAACTATCTCATCAATCATTGCTACTAATTCACTAAAATGTTGTGTTCTGCTTCACATATTTAAGTAGTAGACGCATAACGCGAAAATAAAGTTAATCTTTACAGTGTAATTGGATCTAACAATAGGAGTACTACCACCCACATCATCCGTAAATGCAGCACTGCTTTTACAAGTACTCGACGATATCGCATTTGATGGATATATTTGGACAGCTCTGACCTACCACGCTGCGACCACGGTAGTTGGGACTCTTCTCGGTGAGCAGTTTCCGGAATATAGGCAGTATGGCTGTCTCCCCCTCGAGCAGCTCCGTCTCGGAGCTGGCGCCGTAGATGGAGCTCTCGTTCTTGGTACGCTGCTTCCGTTGCTTGTCCGGCGCCACGTTCGGCGAGCTGTGATGATGGGCAGCATGCTGAATATTGGAGTTGCGGCTGATCTTCCTCGGCTGAATGCACGGCTGACTGCTGGGCGGTGGATCGCGCTCCCGCTCGCTGTCCGTTTCGCTCTGGCAGACGGTACCCTTTTGCGGCTTCGGTCGATGTTTGTTTCGATTTTTCTCCGAGACGGATCGCTGGATGGGCGAAGTGGTGTTCGGGTCGTAGGTCATCACATGGCCATGGTGTTCCGTGCAGCGCTGGGGACTGGCATATCGTGGCGACTGGCGCTGCTTGGCGTGGGAGAGCGTGTGCGTGTCCCAGAGATCGCTCTGAGAGACCACAAAATTGGACTTGAGCGCCGCGCCCATGCTGGTTCGACGATTGTCCGAGGCAGTCGGAGCTGTAAATAAATAAAGCCCGATATGAGTCCCTTGGTGCGACTATGGGATTTACTTACTCTTGATAACTCCCGGCGTACTGGGCTTGGTGTGCGGGCAAACGTTGCTCAGCTCGGACTGGGAGGTGGAAATATTCGTCGAGGAGTTGCGATGCGAGCTGCTGTACTTTGGCCTGGCTGTGGGTGTCTGACTGCCGCTGTCGTAGTGCCTGGAGGCCGTCGACTGGCGTCGCTCCCGCATGTTGGAGCACTCGCCAGTGCTGCGCTTTCCCACGGTGCTGGTTATACTGCCGATGTTGTCATCTGTCTGGGCCGAGACCGAGTTCCGTTTCTCCAAGTGGCGGTGATGCTGCTGCTGGTGCTGTTGTTGTTGTTGCTGCTGTTGGAGTTGCATCTGCTGCTGCTGCTGCTGTTGCTGCATTTGCTGGTGCTGCTGCAGGTGCTGTTGGAGCTGCTGCTGGATGGGCTGCATCATCGTGGGTGCAGGCATGGCTACTGGCGTATGGGAGTGGTGCTCCACAATGGACTGTTTCTTCTTTTTGCTATTTCAATTAGTTAATTATGAGTTAAGGCCCTTTCTGGCTTCGAAGATGATATACTTACGGTGGAAGCGATGGTGCCAGCATCGTGGATTGCACCGAAACGAACGAGTTGTCCATTTCCACGTGGGTGGAAGTCACGCTATCCACGGACGTCAGCTCGGTAACTTCTATTGCAGGGAGTGCGCAATGCATGAATGTATCTAGGCAGCATCCCACTCTAGTCACTCACCTGTGGTGCTGGGCATCTCCCGTCGCACTGGCGGAGCCGACAGCCTGGCAATGTCCTCGGTAAGGATGGGCTCTAGCTCGCTGCCTGCATTGGCTGGGCCGGTGCAGGTAACGCCATCAATCCACTTGCGGGCCTCCGGTCCCAATTTACGAATCAAACCCTGCAGTTCATTCTCTTTTTCCATCAGGGCCTTGCGGAAGCGACAATTTGTTTGTTTGACATCCCGCAGACGCTGCTCCAGCTCACAGACCGAGGAGTCACGACGGTTCTTCGACATGGGCCGCAGCGTGGCACGCACTCGCTTGTCCACCACGCCCTGGGGATTGCGTTTGAGTTCGACCAGCTGCAAGACGATTCGCATGATTATTAGTCGAGGTGGAATATATAAACGGCGGGTAGATACATCAAGGAAAGATCAACTCTACGGAAAGTTATATAGGATAGAGCAGCAAGGCTATAAATAGTGACTACGGCCTTACTGCTGTTGTGGATGGGTTTTGGAATAGCTTAAGTTCATAGTTAGTCTGTAGTGTTATATAGCAATTAAAGATAAATATCTGTTTTAGAATTTAGAGTGAACTTTGTAATAATGTTGTTGTCTGTATGATAGCTAAACGACAAAACAGATCAGATCAATGTTGTCTGATCAGTCTGAATGCTCCATTCTCAATCGAATCAAGACGGACAATCAACCTGTTCAGACAATCCACTGACTGCAAACAACATTCATATCACATATCAAGATTGCACGAGTGTATATCTATAACACCTACAAAAACTACAAAACTTCCTTACTACCAGTCTTACTTTCGGTACGAACACCAAACACAAAGTGGCTGTCGTACAAAAAATTATAAAAAACGAGAGTAAGACAAAAACTAGATCCTTGCGGTCCGATAGCACTAGGGATATGGCAGCGCCGGCCAGGCAGGTGATGAATACATTGTAGACCGAGAAGCCAATGTGCTTTGAATCGTTGAGAGCCGGTATTGAAACGTGGCGGGTTTCCCAGGCCAGGAACGCACCAAAGACCTAACAACAAGATAATGTTCAATTGTATTCCAGATGAATTTTCAAAACGATTATCTACCCACCAAAAGAAGGCCCTTATAGGCATAAATAATGCTAACAAATATGGTCATGTGCTCGGACTGGCAATATTCGTTTTCGGGTATGACCAAAACATCATCAATGTTCTCATGATGCTGCGGAAAAGAAAGATCTTGAATACCATTGGAAAATAATGCTACTGGATGGCTCTCACCAAAGGCTCCAGTTGCTTGGTCTCCCGGTAGAACGGATCCGCAATCTGCCAGGTTGTTATTATGGCTATATCGATGGCCAACAGCACACCCACTACCATAAATAGCTGATAGTCCTTGATCACTTTTTTGTTCAGCTTCAGATCGGTGAAGATTGAATGAACACGCCAGGTCTTCGAGAACATTGCCCCAAAGCTCAGGCTGAAGCCGGCCATCAAAATCCAAGCCCGGGCGGTGCAAATGTAGGGAAAGGCAGCCACACTGCTTAACGTGGTGTCGAGGCCCAGGAAGATAATGCTCAGATAGGTCAACATGCAGCCCACTATGATCAGGTTATTCAGATGCGGACTGGACATTTTTATATAGCTACAAGAGACAACAAAGAGAACAAATATAGGGGAAGGAAGACAATGATATTAGTAGGTAGCTCTTACCGCTGGTTGCGATACTTGATGTTGAAGGCCAGAAAGACGGTTGCAATGATCACACCGATGACGGAGGCACTGGCCGAAACAATGTATATGGTGGGATTCACCTGGCTGTGCTCAATGTAGATCAGCGTGCGATCCTTGGGCGGTGTCTTGCCCACCCAGCGCACTGGCTTGCCGAGGCTCAGGTCCAGATGCGACTTTTGCGAATGATATTCACCGATCTTCTCCATTTGACCCAACTGGAATTGATTGACCAGAATGTTGGCCTTGCGCTCGTTGTTATAAAACCGGACCGGACCCTAAAGAATGACGGAAATACAATACAATAATTCAGAGGAAACATATTCGTAAATGCAGGTATGCAAACCGTTACGCCCTCGAAGGAGGTATTGCGCAAGGCCTCTAGGAAGACGTCCTCCCAGTCCTGAACGCGGTAATCGAAATGTGTCAAGATGTCTTCGCGTTTCTCTGCCACATACTGTATGGCCAGAGCGGCAGCCCAGATGCCATCATAGGTGTAGCCATGGAAGCGAGAGTATTCCGTGCCGCGCAGCCTGTCGTACTCCACCAAGTACTCATCCGCTGTCTGTAAAAATAGATTCAATTAATACTCATAGGTACATATCATGGCGGTAATAACGATCCACTTACAATTCCTGCCACAGTGATGTCCCCGCTGGTGGACAACGGCAGAAGATCCACCAGAATGGCACCCTCTAACGCAGTAGCGATCTCCTCCACGCTGCATTCGCTGTCCTGGGTAACGTTCCACCAATCGGTTGAGTAGGTGGCCATTATCAGCCACTGATAAGCACGGCCATACATTTCCAATCTGCAAGACATAGATTTAAATATCTAACCATTCGGATACCATGAGCCTTGCACTCACTTGTAGGCCTCGCAGAAGGCCTTGCGGGCAAAATGTTCATTGAAGTTGCCCAGAATAATGCGCACATCCTTTTCCCGTAGCTTTTTAAGCGACTCGGCCACATCGTTGACAAAGCTCTGGGTCTCCACAACCTCCACCTCCATGGAGTCGAGATCGGCCACCATGTGATTATGGGGCAGTGAGTAGCGAGGCTCGTTCTGGTACACAGTGCCCACTCGCGTCCAATTGAACTCCTTGAGGAGCGCTAGCCGAGGCGCATTGAAGGCATTCTCCGAGGGCACCACGCGGAAGAAGTTCGGGAAGGCATCCTTGGTGAACATGGGATGGGTGTCCGCGTAGCTCAGCTGCGTCAGGTGCCAATGCTTGCTGGCCTTCGCTATGGGATCGGTGACGTGGGTGCAGGCGGCCCCAAACAGCATCACTTTGTTTGGGCCCGAGTGCATCATGTCGAAGAATGATTTCACACCCACCGCAGCATTGCACTTTAAAGGGAATCCGCAATTAGGACCCCACTGAAAATGGTACATTCCGACTGTCCTTCCACTTACCTGCGTGTCATTCCACCACATATGCAGCCTGTAGTTGGCCAGTATCTTGCCATGCTCATTGACATGACCCAGTGCCAGCTTCACGCTGGGCATGACCCCGCGTCCAGTGTACGAGTTCTCCACGCCATCGCCGTAGGGGAAAAATCCCGCTATATACACATCCGATCGCTTAGCTGTCCTGCTCCAAGCACAGCTGACACATAGCAGGAGAACGGCTACGAATGGGAACCAGCTCCTCGGTAACATGTTAAGCGCGTGGACTGCAAAACCTTTCTGGCTATAATAACAAGTGGAGAAGGACATGAACTTGGAGCCCCTAATCGGTTTGTATCGGTGGGTGTCCAGGTGAGCCAAGGCCTCCCGGTGGCAAGGCTGCGCCCACTGGGTGTGTTCGTGTATACACAAATGTTTATGGATACATGGGTATATGTCGTTGAATGGAAAGGCGGGGCGCAAGGCTAAGGCTAAGGCTAAGGCTAGTAAAATTGCTTTAAATTGCGGCACCAAGGCTGCACTGTACTGTTTAGCAATTAGAAAGTAATTTGCACTTCCACCTCAGCACATTTGCATTATTTAGTGGGGATAAAGAACCCACTGCTCCATTCATCTAATTCTTAGCACTTATCGCCACAGGCATACCTACCAGAGTTGGTTTTCCTTTGGTTCACAAATCTTTCACCTCTGAAGGCATATTACCAGCTTATTTTTAATTTAACTTTTTACTTCTAATGGTGGCTTTGCAGTTGCGAGGGTCCGAAAAATTATGTATCCCCCTAACTTGACACTTGGCTGACAGGACCAAAGTGGAGGCGGAAGTGCGCATGTCCCTTGCCCGAGTGGTGACAGCTCTGCCTTGGCCTAGGCTTTTCAACCCCCGATCCCCTGGAAGCAAAGTATCGCCGACCATTTGGTAAACATCCAGGCAACAGGTGGATCCATCCGCACTCAGCAGCTGTTCACCATTTGTTTTGACCGTTACCATGGACTACACGAATCGTAATGTGAAGAAAAACGAGGCAGTCAATTATCAAATTGAAAATTGTCAGTACAGGCAATGGAGGACTATGCGCCGAGTCGCTATAAAATGCTCGAGAAAATTGGCGAAGGTGTCCATGGCTGCGTGTTTAAGGCCATCGATTTACAGCGCAACAAGGAGGTGGCCATCAAAAAGGTTGCTCTAAAGAACAAATTCGGCAACATTTCGCTCAACACACTGCGAGAAATCAAGACACTGCAACTGTGCAAGTCGGAATTTGTAAGTGTACCTTATAAATTAAGGGCCCATTAACTAATTAACTAATTAATCATAGATCCTGGACATTGTCGATATATATCCTGATCTGACTGGACTGTCGCTGGTGTTGGAATATCACCCTGACACCCTGTACAGTCGCCTTAAGAGCGAAGTGAATCCCCTTAGCCGCCAGCAGGTGCGAAAGTTCGCCCACCAAATGTTTAAGGGCATTGCCTACCTCCACGAAGCGGGCCTGATGCACAGGGACATCAAGCCAGCCAATTTGCTCATCAGTGACACGGATATGCTGAAAATCGCCGACTTTGGCCTGGCTCGTCTCTACTTTCCAGAAGAGGAGTCGCGTCTGTATTCGCCTCAAGTCTCGACGCGCTGGTATCGTGCTCCGGAAATACTCTGGGGCAGTCAGAAGTACAGCCCTGGCGTGGACATGTGGGCAGCAGGTACACATTCACATTCCTTTCTCAATGAGTTTCAATAGTTTATGACTTTAGGCTGTGTGGTGGCGGAGATGTTGCGTGGTGTGCCTCTCTTTGCTGGCACAACGGACATCGAACAGTTGGCCATCATAATACGCACTTTGGGGAGTCCTCGTCTCAATCAGTGGCCAGAGTTGACTTCGTTGCCAGACTACAGCAAGATACGGTGAGTTTTTGGCTGCTTAAATGTTATCCTGTGTTAATCCTACAATTTTCGTTGCTTTGGATAGATTTCCCAACTCTGTGGGCATACACTGGGACAATTTGTTTCCGAGCTGCACGCACGCAGTGGAGATTAGTCTGGTTTCGAATTTGGTCGTATACAATCCCAAGAACCGGCTTAGCGCTAGCGAGGTACGTTCTCAACTCCACATGAATGTGTCTTTACACACTTAACAAACGCGTATTCCTATATTTTCAGGCAGTCGAACATAATTATTTCCACTAATTACATGTCTATGTACAAATCTAGTAAGCATCTAAGAATTCTCAGATTCCTTGTATCTGTAAGGAGAAATAATCAATTAGCTCTAGAACAATATGAACCTGCACCTGTTGCCTTTGACACTTACTTGCACTTCAGACAGGTGAAGAATACTGTCTGACCCTCGTCCGCCGATCGCAGCTGTAAGGTGGCATAAGACATCTTATCGTGGCCGCATTTGGGGCATTTGCGCTCCACAACGGGCCCATCAGCCTCCGAAGACTCGGACTCGCGCTTCGTCCTGTTGAAGACTTTGCTGGGATCGTAGGTGTTGAATTGTATGCTGTACTCGGTCTTCTCCCCGCCGTACACTGTTAAAGAAGCCGCTGCGTCAAGGAGGAGCACTTGGAAATGGTCTAAAAGTGAGGCTCACCGTCGGGCAGGAACTCCTGGTGGCAATTGTGGCAAATGACGTTGCCCTTTACTTGCAGGGGTGGCAATATAGAGCCGCAAGACGGGCAAAATCCGGGGCAATTGTTAAAAGTTTCCATTTCCAAAATTTCAAAACAACTTTCCGCACCGCACGTGCTACTCGATACTTATCAGAAATATATCGAAATATATCGTCTCATTTTAAAAATATACCGTAAATATACTGAAAAATTCAAGTTATATTTTACATATTCCACGTTTTTGATATTCCGTAAAATATTACTAGCTAATATAGAATATTTAGCCATGCCCACATAATTTTCTACGATTGATGAATCAATTTTCTACAAGATTGGATAGTTTTTAATCCTTGCTTTTATTGTATTTATTGTAAAAACAGGGTTAAACGAAAAAGTCCAACCAAAAAAGAGTCGCAATGTTGCTGGTATTTAAAGACGTGATGCGTGTATATCCCTTTGTACACCCTATTTCGCTAATTTTATATGAAGATCAAACGAAATTTATTAAGACCTTTTCTCAAATTGATATTCTTTAGACATATTCAAGTACATTATTAGTATCCTGTGTATATTTATGTCGATCCTGATACCTACGGAGCCTTGGAAGACAAACATATTCACAATTCTATAACATCCATTTTCCCCAGGGTATGTGTGCATGGAATTAGCAACATGTTTGTGTATGGAATGAGACTCATTGTTGCAATAGCGAAACTGCGGCGAATCGGGTATTGCCTATATTTCAAGCTATATAGATTTGCCCACTTGGCTTTATCCCATAGATAAATGCATTTTCTACAAGATTGCGTCTTTAAATTGCTTGTAAGTATTTTATTTTGACCAAAAAACGGTTTTCAAGTAAATGTTGCCGCAACAGTGTGTATGGAATGTGCAACATTGTGTATGGAACAAGACTCATTGCTGCTAAAGCGAACTGCGGCGAACTGCCGCGAACTGCGGCGAAATCAAATTCGATTCAAAAAAACGACCAATTCCTCATATTCTTTGTTCCGTTGAATAATACTATCTATATGGAACATTTAGCTATGCCCACTCAATTTCGTACGATTGATGAATCAATTCTATACATGATTGGTCTATTCCAAATACTTGCTTTTATTGGATTTCTATATAAAATTGAAAATTAAATTAATAGATTGAAGAAAATGGAAAAAAATACCATGGGAGTGCGGCGAAAACTAGTATTTCTACAGTATGACCCTCAAAACAGCACCGAAATATACAAAATATACCGATTGGTGCGCGCCAAATCTAACTTTTTTGAATGTGAGCGACAAGGATTTAAATGTTGTCAACCGGCCCATTACCGATGCAACAAATACGACGAATCTCTCAATTTTGATCTTCCTTCGAATATCAGCTATATAGAACATTTAGCCATGCCCACATAACTTTATCCGATTAGTGAATCTGTTTTCTAATTGACTGGCTTATATTAAATACTTGCTTTTATGGCATTTTGCGTAAAACGCGGTTTTCGCAAAAATGGTCAAACAAAAAAACGTAATAAAACGTAAGAGAAAAAGTTCCTATTGCGCTATTTTGATATTCCGTTGAATAATGCTGACTAACTAAAACCTTTAGCTCTGCCCATATAATTTTAGGCCATTGATGAATAAATTTTCTACAGGATTGGCTACTTTTAAGTACTCCCATTTATTGTATTTTGACTACAGCAAGGTGTAAACAAAAAAGGTCAACAAAAAAACAGTGGCAACGTAGTGGGAATGGAATGCGTGACCACGTAACCGGAGTTTGGGCTTTGGTATACCCTATTTCCAAGCTGTTTTAAATCGTAATTAATAAAGTAATTATTTCAAATTGATATGTTTTAGACAAATTCATGCATATGGTTAGGGTTGTAAATATATCTCGATCCCGATACCCATTCAAAAAATTTATGAAGTATGCCATATAACGGTGATAAGTGATCTTCTTTCTGTGATCTTGAAACATTCGTTGCTTGTCTATTCTTTCTTCTTTCCGGCGGTGTGGTCATTTAAAGTATGTCATACAAATGTATGTAGTCAATAGGTATTTATTACTTATAGTTCTCGTATATACATATTTATATTCATATTTAAGTATGTATTTACATATTTCAGGCAGGACGACGTTGTTATCTCGCCGTATGTATGTATGTATGTAAAGAAATAATGCTTCGGTGCAATTCAGATCGCCTTATCTCCTTCCAAGCAGGCGCTGGGACAAACCTCGTCATAGACCTCGGTGTCGCTGTCGTCATCCCGTTTAAGGAATTCTTTGCGAATGTATCGCGCCACGAGCACTTGAGGTCGTTTCTCCCACTCACTTAGGCATTCCGGTGGTGAAAGTATCTAAAGTGAGTCATCAAAGAATTAATTATGAATAGGATTACTAGTTAATTCCGATTTATAATGTAAGATTCACTGACCTGATCACCCTCCATACGATTGACTATGCACAAGGAGACGATGGCAGATCGTATACTGGCTCTGTTTGTGAGAGCGGCAAAGGCGGTACTCTCCATATCAAAATTTACCACTCCCTGGCACTGGACGCTCTGAAGATAGGCGGTCTTCGATTGGTTCGTGTAGTCGCAGAAGGCTCCATCGAGTCGCGTTTGGCCCTCGTAGAAGTCATTGGTGCATATGGTCTTACCAATAATTGTACAAAACTCATCCTCGCAAGGAATGGCCAGTGATAGGAGCTCGTTGGCCAAACACTGGTCTAGTTTGCTGGAATACAGCACGACTTTGCCCTGAACAATTAGCTCATAATAGGGATTTAACATGCCGTCCAGAGCCTCCGAGCTGATGACCACGGTTCCGGGCTCTATTCCGATGCCGCCGCAGGTACCAATTCTGATAAAGACGGGATCCTGACACTTGGCATGGTGCAACATCTTGATGAGCTCATGCAGCAGTATTGAAATCGATGGACACCCCATGCCATGACTGACACACAGAACTGGGCCCACTTTGTAGAGCGCATAACGATGACCTGGCTCGGCCATATTCCTGAGAGTAGTCGCCGGGTTCAGCTTCAGACTGAGTTCCTTCATAATCTTGTAAGCGAATCTCTCCATGCGCTCAGCCGTACCTCCCATGCAAACAAACTACGGATTCAGAGCACTCAATCGAAATGACGGGAGCACCGTGTCATTTATTTACTCACCCGCACATCGCCAAAGACCTTGGGAAAGTCCATTGTGGCCGTGTCCATTCCCAGATGGTAGAGAACGTCCGGCTGGAGGCATTTCAGGCAGGGACTCAGACCCTTTAGAGTGCTCTCCTTTGGGGGCTTTTTGCAGCCCATCTTCATGTGTCTGACCAGCTGCCCAAGCTGCTTGCCCTGTGACCTTACCAATTCTGTGGGATCAAACTATTCGCTTACACTGCTTATTGCGATTGTACCCTACTTACCCTTCAACTGGCAGACATCGCGATTCAATTCGCATGGACTCGCACCTGCACACGTATTGCACCCGCAGTTTCCTGGCATTTTTGTGTTCAAAAAGTAAATTTTTGTTATTTATTTCCAAAAATGAATTTTGAATAAGCCAACTAGTGTTATTTACTACAAAGCAACTACTGACTACTGATTACTGAAAGTTCAACAAGGCCAGGCTTTCCAGATGGGTGTACGTGATCATTGAGTTCTGTTGTCCCACAATTTGCATGAAAATCCCATTTTCCATTTCCGCGATTACAAATCGCAAAAATTTCCAATGTTAGAATTAGAATTTTTAATCCTTGACAAGATGAAGACCTTATCAGGGACCAAGGATCAAGAATATTTTCTCCAGTCATATATATATCCCGTTTTTTATGCTATTTGTGGGCCGATATGGCCGTTCCATATTTTCCAGTAATTAGAAAAATTGGAATTGGAAATAACCGAAGTGTGTCTAGAATCAGTCTCATTGTTGAAGGGAAATCCCAAGAAACGGCTATTGATACTATCGACTGGATACGAGAAGTGCGCGCCAAATAGAAAGTGCTTGAAAGTGAATATGGGACAAGGCTATAAATGCAGGCTTAATAGATTGATGAAATATACCATTATATACCGATATACCGTAAATATACCTTAAACTACATTTCGAGGTAAAAATGTACATAAAATTATAAAACATGCTATAAATTTGCACCATGGTGCTTTCTCCCGGATCATCGTTGCCTTGCATGGCACGGTTCATGTGAACTGGCTCGATTCGACTGACTCCAAGCAAATGTTAGCCGCCAGAATTTAAATGTGAGTTTTGGATGCGATTTTGGTCTTTTCCTCGAGATTTGATGAATTTTCCAAACGCAATTTGTCCAATAATCTTCAATGTAGAATCTTTATAGAATCAAGACTCCACATTTTCTCCTTTAGATAAATATTTTAAATACAAAAATGTTTATCCTCCTTTTTCGATTTTTCTTACATGTTTTCCTTTTTCTGCATTTTTATTTATAAAAACTTCACAAAAATATTTTATTCTTTTATCCATTTTTGGAGGGGCTTACAAAATTTTTTGGCTTCTTCTCTTCTTTCGGGGTGACCAAAATTATTTTTAATTAATATTCAAATTGGATTTCGAATTTTTATTAAAGTCATGAAACTACATATGTATATGAATTTTGACTTTGATCAATATTATTATTATTGTTATTATTACTATTATTATTATAGGAAATCTATGATAGCAGTATTGCGATCGTATAAACTAGTTTACTAAAATGCAAATCAATTGTTCTTTTGATTAATTAAACTACCTAAAAACTATCACAGGCAGAACAGTAATTACGCGCTAGAGAATGAGAATCCTAACTACAACTACGCATAAATTTTGATAGCTCGCATCTAGGAACTTTTAAGCTGTAGCCCCAATCCAAACATCCAGTGAAGGATCCATTATCGGCTAGCATGATTCTGCGGCATGTTTAATTCCCAAAGTTTCATGTTGTTGTCGAGCACTTCGTGGAACCAGCTCTCCTTCTCCGGATGCTCCCTAAAGACCACATTGAGGGACTTGAGGTCGAGCTGTAGGATAGCATCGTTGCCCAGCAGCGTGTCCAGGGATCGCAGCAACGTGCTATTACCGTGCAGCTTGAGCAGGGTCACATACTTGACCACATAGTATTCGTATTGGAGCTTCCGACGCGCCCAGCGCTCCACGGTGGCATTGGCACTGGCCGAACGGATCTGGCCCAGATGCTCGGCAAACCACGGCGCAAAGTAGTTGTATAGATCGAGCTTGGACAGGGCGTTCAGGCCCTTGCTCCTGATGCGCTCCTTGATCATTTTGAAGTTCTTGCGACTGTACACAAAGACCTGGAACAGCGAATTGCCCGTGGTATACGAGCTGACGTAGTGTGTGCCGACGCTCTCTATGAAGCCCACCGCCGACGTGAGATTTCCGATCTTTAGTTGTTCCATGCGCGCCCGGACTTCCGGCTCCAGCTGCTGCTCAATCGGGATGTCGGCATTCAGCTTGCCCGTCTCCCGGAATCGGACCACTCGAACCAGCACATACGAGTAGTCGCCCTGGATGAAGGAGGTGTTGATGCCCAGCTTCTTGGCCGCAGTGTCCGGAAACCAGCCACCCGTGAAGGCCTCCCAGGGCTTGTCCATTCGCTCGACGGTGAAGTCACGGAAGTATGCCTGGAACAGCTGGCGACGATTGTCGCAAAACTCCATATGGAAATCCCCATGAAAGATACCGGGCGTGGTGTCCTCATGACTCTCCGCCAGGCCGCTCAAGTTCTGGAATGATAACCGAATATTAGAGGGCCATCAGAGGACAACAGAAGAGTGGGTTAGGGGCCCACGCTCACCCTGTATATATTTTTAGTCGGCTCCTTGAATATCCATCGCTCCGACTCGACGTTGTCGTTCATGGGTATCACCCGCATCGATATGCCCAGGTAGCCATAGCGTAGAAATATATTGATGGCTTTGCCAATGCGCAGCTGGGACTCGCGACTGCCGACGACGGCGAGGAGCGCCAGTGCCAACAGCCAGAACAGGCCCAGCCGCCCAGATGGGCTCGGGCTCATCGCTCAGCGGTGGGCCACTCAGCATGCAAAAGGGACTGCAACGGGCAATGGGAAGCGGATGTTATGAATATTACAGCGGTAGGAGGATAGGGGGTATACCTATTACCCATACCTATAATTATGTGTCTACGTTTAGTCAAGAGTATTTGCTTTTCCACTCTACTACTCTAAGCGGGCGATAATTTATGCGAGCTCTAATTGACCATGAACCTTCAGTAGTGCTGAACTTGAACCGCACACCGTTCAGTGTTTTGTTGAGGCCACCGCCTGACGGCGTCTCCGCGATGATCTCCGATCTTGGATCTCGGATCGCGTTGAGCTCTGACCACCTTAAGTGGCTGCAATTAGCCGCAGGTTGGGCTGGTTGTGGCCGTTAAGAAACGCTACAAAGTAAAGCCATCGAAATTGGTTCGGCGGCCGGTTGGACATGCAAATGATTTCCTAAACATTTTGCATGGCCCGCAAGACGTTATGTATAGCCAAAGCCGTTTTTATTTTTTCCTTTTTGGGCGCACTAGTTTAAACCGGTTTGCCATTCGCCTGATTACGGCTGGCCAGAGAGGAAGGCACTGCCAAAGAGCAGCATAAAATTGGCCCAAGCCAAGCCATAAATTCTAACAACATTGCAACTTTTTCAAACCGAGACGAGACGGCTTTCAATGGAATGGTCAGCCCGTTATCAGCAGTAGAACCGATGCAGCCAGCGACGTGTTTGACTGGTTAAAACACAAAGGTTAGCCGGGTGTTAGCCATACCCATGACTCACACCTGCCCCTCTGCCACTATGCCACCCTGCTGCTGCATTCAACCAAATCGGTGAAGCGCAACTTAACGACAGTCGACAGTAGTCACAAAAACTAACAAAAAAAACATATAATGACACTCAAATTGTTAACAATTTAAGTGAACCATAAAATGTAGGCGATGCTAAATTTGCCGAGTAACAATAACTTTAGCGGTGCTAAAAACAACATCAGGAAGGGTGACACGACAATTACCAGGAGTTGGGCAATGTCACAAAAAAAAATTTAAAAAAACGACCTATGGATTCGCTCCTATACTAAAGAAATTTCCTCAGATTATAAGCTTCCTAATATGTCCAGTTCCAGGAAATAATTATATTATATATACTATGTTTTAATCAGTATAATTTAGAAGGTTATTATCTCACACACTTGGCCCCATCGATGAACCAAAAAGATTGCAAAAATATTTCGATTCATTCTTCTCAATGAAATACAAAAGTCCCCTGCTCTTCAGACCACACCCGACAAGATTCTGAAGCCAGTTTGTGCTTGTCAAATTCTAATAATCATTAAATTCATATGAGTATAATCAGCTTAGCTCCATTCGAAAATGAAGTAACCAAAAAAATGCCGTTTTTAAGGGGCTGCTGACTAGTTTCCGGCGAGCTACTCCCATTGAGAGTCGTCTGTGTGGCTCTTTGGCAATTGCCAAACTTTAAGCTTAAAGGCAGCTCAAGTGTGGTGTATGATATATGATATAATGATAGGTAGAGTGTTTACAATAGCAGTCGCATAACCTTGTGCAAAAGACCCAAAAGACGCGACACGGACGCACACGAGCCCGTGGAGATTGAGATGAATCAAAAATTCAATACGCGCACTCGGACTCCACTTCATTCCAATCTCCAATCAGCTGAAATCGTCCAACTGTGACGTCTCAGACGTTGTTTTGCCAGAAAGTCAGAGTCACAGTCGCAGTCGCAGTCTCAGTCTGAGGATTGGGGACTGGGGACTGGGGCTCCACCACATTTCCGTCAGAGCTCAAGCTCAGTCAATTGGAGATTCTTTATGCGCATTTTATGCGCTCTTTTGTGGTCTGGTTGGGGACGAAGACGAAGGGCACACACCACACACCGCACAGGCACATATCACACACTGGGGGCTTAAGGTCTGCAGTTTATAAGTATATAATTTTATGCTTTCCTTGAGCGGTGTTAAACAAAAGTTGTCTGACTGCGAACTGTTTCTGTTTCTGTTTCGGTGGCTGTTGCTGTTTCTGTTTCTGTTTGTTTTACCTGCACGAGAACTCGAACTGGAATTGAATTGACGTAACCATCAACCCAGAAGCCGCTTTATGACTTTAGTATTCAGAGAAGCTTTAGCTTATTTAGAGACTGGCTGGGAGAGGATAAATACTTAGACTGAGGCCGATTGGGCAAAGGCAGAGACGGATCGAATCCGGAGAGTGGTTTGGCAGTGGTTTGCCTTATCGCCTAGCTACTCTCGTACTCGCAACAGACAAACCATTGCACAAAGCAGCGCCGTACGACATACGAGTAGTATCATTAAATTATATTTAGTTGATGGGGCCTAAAGGTCAGCGCGATGACAGCGATGAGCTGCTACGCATGGCGCCTTCAAGTGATAAGCGTACCATTCCCGTTCCCATCCGACGGGGGTAGAGTGTAGTGAAGTGGACTAGACGACCCAAAAATAGTTCTTCCAGTCTCGAGACTATTTGAGATTACCCGATCGGGTGTTAAATTACGTTCGCGCGCGGTCCGTTATGGGGTTTCGAGTACACACAAATTCCACAAGCCAGGTTTACACACAGAGCACAGAAAACGTGCCTCAATCGCAATTAAAAAGCCGGAATCCGAAAAGCACTTACACTTTAAACACGAGCAGTTGGGAACGGTACGGTGGAACGGGATCGGATCGTGGGCATAACTTCCACCGCGCAGACTCGAAGAAATATTTAAAATAACCAGTCCCACAGTACCCGTTTCTTTCAAATACCCCGCAATGTTGGTGGGTTCTTCAAAATACTGCTTGGCCACATGTGGCTAGAAAACATGTTGCCAGCAAGATTACAAAAAAGGTTTGGACAACAGGCAAAACGGGCCAGAAAATGCAACGCATGCAACGTAAAATCCACCCCAATTCTCAACATACTATGATCAAACATGCTGAGGTTTGTAGAAGCCGTTCAATTGGACGATTTTTCATCGTTGTCCATACCTTTCCATAGTACATCGAGGTTCGAGATCGCTTAGCCGGTTCGATCAAACCAATCTTACGCTCTCAGGCTCGAATTGCGTTTCAAGTATGAGCCCTGGACTTATGTTCGTTAGACAACATGTTGCTAAGCCGCACAGTGGGGAAAAATCTTTAAATTCAAGTAAAAAGGATTACTTATTAAAACAATAAATTAGTCTTAATATCCCATTAAATAATTTTTTTATATTTATGGTATGATTAAAATTATTACTCAAAAAAGTTTTCAAAAAAGAATATTTGCATGTTTTATTAATTTTCTTCCGGCAGACGTTGCAGTTCAATGACATGGGGCCAGAATCGCTGTTGGAGCAGCAGATGGTCAGTGGAAATACTTTGACACAAATATCTATAGCTGTCATCGGTGGGGGTTCGAGGGACGACAAACTGACAGCTTTTCCGCTTATTAGTGTTTCCCGGCACGTTGCTCGCCGGCCCTCCAGCATAGCAAGTACCCAAACGAGGGGATCGGGGTCGGGGACGGAGACAGTTTGCAGAGCGAGGCTTGCGCAAGACTTCAATAGAATCGTGGAACAACTGTTGTAATCAAAAACTTTTTGGGGGGACTCTGCCTCTGCCGCCCCACTCAGCCCAGTCCCCGACTGAATGGTCAACATAGTCAAAAAGTAAAGATACCATAAGCCAGAGCCAGAGCCAGAGTCAGAGGAAAAAAAACCGAAAGTATCAAATTCGCATTACCTTGAAAACATGCCAACAAATTTGGGTCAAGCCGACAGCTTAGTGGGTATCAGTCTGCCAGTCTGTGTGTCAGTCGTTTGATGTTTCTTGTATAATGTTTCAATTAGAAGCTTCAGATACAAATACGTACATAAATATGTACATATATCTCGGTCGGGTCGGTGTAATTGTATCCATGGCTGCAGGGCATCCGCTTGTCACATTGCCTTGGAGGGCACTCTCTGCTCTGTCCAATGAAAGTTTCTACGAATTTCGCTGCTTGCTTTCTAAGAACTGGAAAGGTTCTCTTTCCGATTTTGTGGAGTGGAGTGGGGGACCCCAAAAAATCATTGCAAAAACTGACTGAAATTGTATTCTCTCATATATTTCTCATTTTCATATATAGAGGTTCTTTTTATTAATTTCTTTTTCTGTGTTGGGTTTTCTTTGTCTTTGCGGCATGCATGATTCAAAACTTATGTATTTAAAATTCGGTATTTCAGTGTTTACTGGTTGTTTTTGTTTTTCTTTTTTTCTGTTTCTGTTTTTAATTCGCATTATTCCCATTTTTACCCATTTTTCTTCTGATTTTGTTATTATTATTTTCATTTTAAACTATGTATATATTATGACATTTGTATCATTTACTTTAAATGATATTTTCTAACGTCTTGACCTATTTCAGCATCAATGGATCGATATCGATCCATCTGAGCCACTCATTTCATTTATTATTTTAATAACAATTCACTCAATTTGCTCAAATCGTGTCAATCCTACACATATTGACTTTTGGAGATCATAAGCATTATCAACTCGTCACCATCTTCATTATCCTTAGCTCCTTCATCATCGTCTACCACTTATCAAATTAGAGAAAAATTCTAATCCATTTGGCTTGCTTCAATGAGTCTTCTGGTATTTCCAATATCCGTTTTCCATTTCTTTTCTTTTTTTTATGTAATATCAACAATAAATTTTTGCTTAATCTTAGTGTGAAATTATTCTTAGTGTACAGCTACAATTTGCTCGCATCAGCTAAGAAAAAAGGATCAGTTAAAAATAAGAAACGAATCCCTTCGAAATTCTAGCTCATTCTTGGAATGTCCAACTCTTACACGCGACTTCCCCTTCATTCTAATCGTGATCATTCCTCACGGTTTTTATACCATAAAATACTTGATTTTTGATTTGAGCATTTTTCCTTAGACTTTTTTTTATCTGGCACACCCTGCCTAGGTTGGGGGGGAGGGGGATAGCTGCAACATATACATACACTTCCGCTTCCGGTTGTTCTTCGACTTCATCGTTTTGTTTAGGTTTTCTTTTTTGTTTTAAGGGTAAAATACTTAGTTAATTTGGCCACTCGGCTGCTTGTTTTTTTTTTGCGGTTTTTCTTTTATTTTGTATCTGGTTGTGGGTAGGTAGTTTAGTTCTTCAGTTTCGGGTAGGTTTTTCATTGGGATACTTCTATGATTTGCATTGCCTGCCTGCTGCCTGCTGTTCTGTCATACGCTCCGAACCAAAAAGTCATATCCCAGCGTTCAACAATAATTCTCTATGCAAAAATTGTTCAACCGTTTTGAAACCATAGAATTGTTCTGGTAATTCATTTGTGTGTGTGGTAATCGATGTGGGTTCTGTGGTTAGGCTCGAACTAAGCTCTGGCTTAAATGGAGTGAGGAGTGTGGTGTTTCTGGGGCTGGAGGGTTGTAGGTGGTAGGAATTACAAAGTCAAATGTCAAATTTTTTTAGTCTAATATTAATCGTAAGTGGTTTTTGCTTGTTCAACCACATTTTCCAATTCTAACCAGTTTTTGTTTCCTTGTTTCTTTGTTGTGATTGCATGTGCACTCCTTAGTGTTAGGTCTAGATTCAGCTTAGGTCCTGCTCTGGAGAAGCGCAATCAAGCCCAAGCCTGGAGAAGATTTCGCCAATCGAACGGGAGCAGGAGAAGCTTCGGTGAGAGCAAGAGGAGAAAGCTAGTGAGCGCGAGCCTGGGGGTTTTCGGGGCTAAAAATCTGATTGCTAAAGACATGTTTTGTACTTGTAAAGCATTTAGAAAAGATTTATGCAGAAGCTGCTGCTGCTAGGGTGGTAACTTGTGGCTTGTGGGTAAACTGCAATTCATTTCGATTCGATTCTGTTTAATCCATTGTAAACTTCGATTGGGTTTTGTTAAGGTTTTCGTTTTGCTTTTTTTGGCTGTGGGTTAAAAGGAAGCGCTCCGCTATATTTATCTTATTGAACTTGACTGATTTTCAATGTATCCAACCTGAGTTTTGAGTTGTTCGAAAAATATACCTATATATGTCTGTATGTTACACCACATATTTTCTGTACTAATCATTTCATTCATTCATTCATTCTCTTCATCCTTCGTGTCTTCCTATATTTATACGTGTCCTGTTGTGTCCCGTCGCGCACTCTTCCACCAGCTCTCATTGGCCTCTAAATAGTTTAATTCTTATTTGATTTACTTCTTTGCTGTAATTGCTGTTAGTATGTGTTTTCTTTTTGTTGTTTTTGTGCTCACTCTATGTTTTTTTTGTTGGTTTAATGTTTTGTCCTTTAATTGCTTTTGCTTGATTTAAACGCGCCTGCTTCTTATTATTATTAACTCGTTTATGATTGCATTATTAATCATTTCCATTGAATTTATTTAAACGTCAACAATTTGGTTTTTTTTTTGTTTTCTTTCTTGGTAATATTTTAGTGTATTTTTTTGTTTGTTTGTTTCGTGTGTAAGTGATGTTATACGGGTCCTTTTGTTAATGTTTATTGCATTTAAAACGTACACTTTACGATCGGTTGTCCCCATTTGCTCTTCCATATGTAATTAATTTGCTTTTTTATACTTTTTTTTTGGGCTTGAAACACTTGAAATTGCTCTCATCTCATATTGTTTTTAACGTTTTCCTGAACTTCTCTTCTTGTTGGTTTTTATGCTGGTTTTGCTGTTATGTTTAATTATAACTAATTACGTAGTTTTTTGTTGCTATAATTTACTAACTCGTTTTCTTCAAACATTCTTCGGATTTCTATTTCTTCATTTTTTTGGGTGTGTTTTTTTATTTTTTTATTTTTGTATGTGTTTATGGAAATAATCTTTGATTAAAACAATTTAGAGTGTTTTTTAGTTGCGGTTTCTGTTTCTGTTTCGATTTCGGTTTGTGTTTTAGTTAACTTAGACACTAACAAGTGCAAGATTAACATAAGCGTTTAATGCTGTCTGACAGAAAGAAACAAAATAAATACTAGTACGAGTACGAGTACGGGTACAAACAAAAACTTTAACAGAACAAACAATCATAAATATAATAAACATAATGACACAGGCTGTCTGTTTGAGGGCAGCCCATTGGAATGGCAAATACAATGTAAAATTAAACACTTAGGATTTAACAAAGTATAAGGCAAAATACAGCTCGTTTTACAATTAACATTTTGTGTTTACGTTGCGACCGCAGTTACCCACAATACCCTCTCCTATATCCTCATACCTACATATATCTCGGCGCCAAGCGCATTCTGTCTTCATGTCTTTCTGTTTCTGTTGCGGTTGCTTTTGCTACTATTGCTGTTGCTGTTGCTGTTGCTGTGTTGTATATTTTTGTGCCTTGGTAATACTTTAATGGTGTTTGTGGTGTGTAGTAGGTGTGATGTAACTGTGGTATTGCACTCAGTAGAGCGCCACATTGGAGGCCTGTGTATATGCATCCCACTCGCAATCGCAACCCTCGAGGCAATCGGGGCATTCCAGTTCACTGTCTTGTCAGTAGAGCCACGAGACTGGCACCCATTGGGGAGTGGTGTGCACTCGGTCGATGGCCGTTTCCAGCGCGGAAATCGTATCGCTAATGTCGTTGTTCACAATCGTCATATCAAAGAAATGGCCATACATTTGACGCAGCATTTCCGATTCCTTTGCCAGACGCTCCAGGCTGCCATCGTACTGCCATCGCACCAGAGAGGGAAAACAAAGAAAACCAATTAGCATCGAGACACCACAGCACAGTCTTAGGCAAGCCTTACATCGGCGATATTTTGCAGCGAGGGGGCCGCTATGAAGACCACATAGGGCGTGAATTCGGCTGTGCGTAGTATCTTCAGTGCCTGCGGCTCCACATCCAATATGGCCATCTTGCCGTCTGTGTGTATGCGTCGGATAGTGTCCAGCTTGGTGCCATACATCGCATCCTCGTGCGTGCCTGGGTGAATGCCTAAGTATTACTTTGAGTGCTGTAGATGGTTACGACTCACCATATTCCAAGTACTCATTGGCGGCGATATCCGCCATCATTTCGTCGTGCGAGACAAAGTAATAGCTGCGTCCACTCTCCTCCTCGGGCTTGGCAGGTCTCGTTGTATCTAGAAAAAAAATCGACAAATCTTTGCATTCAACCTGAAGAACTTTAGATTAAGACTCGTACTTACGTGGTATGGGATAGGCGTACTTATCGGGATACTTGGATATCAAGGTGTTCTTAATATGCCGCCTGCCCACGCCATGGGCTCCCAATAGCACCAACGTTTTGCGCTGAAAGTTCGGATCACCGACTGGCAAGAAAGAGCAACCATTTGAGCATAGGTTCCTTGGGGTTTTAGCTGCTAGTACAAGCTCACCTGGCACCTTGACAACCTCCTCGTATGTGACCACATCTAGATTATCGAATATGGCATTATGCTTGGCCAAGTACTTGTCGCGGCACTGCTTCTTCTTGCGCCCGAATATCGAACAGTTTACTGTTGGTTATAATTGTTGGGTAAATGTTTTATAATTTCCGTTCAGTATACGGCATATGCATATTAAAGTTATTAGAAACTGAAGAGCCACATGCTTGATGGAGCATAAACAAACATGCTGTTCTGCAGGCAAGCAAGCAAATATTTCATTGGCATTAAATCATTAAGTATTATAAGCATTCATGATTATTACAGCATAGAAAATGCATATATTTCTCGAATCGTTCGTATATTTCTTGATAACTCTTTCTTGGACATTTCCGAAGATGCTTCCTGGCATTCCTTCGGATTGAAAATTCAACGTGCAGTGTGGCCTGTGTCTTTCTGGATGTATCTGTATGTATCTAGTATGTGTGTTTGGTTATATCTAAACTCGTTACTCGGGGTACAATTCATTTATTTCGGTTATAAGCGTGGGTGGCAATGATCATACGCAACGATGGCTAGTGCTGGGGGGTTTCTACGTTGTTCTAGATGATGGTTGATGGCTTGTGGCTATCCTTAAGGGGGGGCTGGTGGGTTTCGGTTTCGGTGCCTTCTACATAAGCTACAACTTTCGGGTGGAGGGGGGTGGTGGTGAATTTTGGGTGTGAAATCTTTATACAATTGCTATCGTTAAAATTCTGTAGTATGTTTGTGTTTGTTTTCTTTGTTTTGTTTTGCATAACAGAACTCAAGAGGAAACGGTTTAGGGTTCGACAATTTTTGGCAAGCTCTCCTTAGGCGGTTAGCTTGGCGGATTTTCATTTAATTAAGTTGTGTTTGTGTGTGTGTGTGTGTGGGATTGTTTTTGCTTTATATGGTAACTACCTGCTGATCCATCACACCCATCTGCGTGAGCGGAACATCCAGCACCCGGTTCTCCTGCATTATATTATTATACATATTTTTTTTATATTACATATTCTGTGATTTCTTATGCTATTTTTGGTTTAAATATTAAATCATTTTACTTTAAGCTGTTTGTGTGTGGGTGTGTGTGTGTGTGTGGGGCGGGGGAGGTCTTTCATGGTATATTTATCAAGAATTTGGCAACATTTTTGGTTTGCTTTGGAATTTTCAAAATGGGGTTTCTTTGGTTTAGCTCCGACTACTTTTTTGGGGGCATGCAACTCTCCAGGGCTTATGTTAGTGTACACATGTGTGTGAGTCTGAGGTGTGTGTGTGTTTGTGTGAGCTCTGCCAGAGAAGAGACAGAGCCATAGAGAGATAGATAGAGAGAGGGAGAGAGAGAGAGAGAGCGCGTATTCCCCTGCGTTCAGGTCAACTACGAATTCGTCATACACTTTCCAATATAGTACAATATATAGCATACGATTGATTGATTGATTGATTGATTATATCGAGCATCCAATTACACATAGAGATTACGCATAGATTCGTTTCGTTTCTTTTTTCTTTTCTTGTATTTCTTTTTTTTGTTTTACAGCTAATATTGTCTTTGAAGGACTCACCCTGCTCCTGCTTGGTCTTGTCGACCGTCTGGCAGGCAATGCGCCACTCCTGCAGCTCTGGCGATGGTATCAAGCCCGCCGAGCCACCAACCGTGTCCAGTCTCGCCTGCCACCAGTGATGATCGTCCTTGCTAATGATCTGCACCGAAGACGGGCGTTAGAGGGTTTCGTTTCTGTTTTCCAGAGCTGGCCACCTACCTGAAGTATGTCGCCCACTTGGAATGATATGCCCGCCTGGGCGCAGGGTATAAGCTCATCATCCAGCGGATTATAATCAAATTGTGCGCGCACGAAAATCTGCCACGGTAAAGGAAGCCAGAAACAAGAAGAGCACAAAGTGAGTTCACAATTTAGTTTTTGGTTTGCTCTGCTCTCTGCTGACGCTGCATTTGAGTCGGGAGCCGCCCTAATGCGGCTGCCTCAGCGAAATGATGGGTTTTTTTTTTGCGTTTCGTATTTCCACCAATTATAATCCCAACTCATTTGCGTGGCAGCAGCAACAGGAAGCAGCAAGAACAACAATAATGGGGATAAAGGACTTCTAACTTTAAATTCGAGAGCATTCTCTTGCAGTTTGTATCTAAAGATACAAAGAAAACCCTGCAAAGAATCAGCCATCGAATTTTCTAGATTGACACTAGATTTTAAATTTTTTTATCGCAGAAAATATACAATTATATTATGTCCTGTTACTTTTGAAGCATTTTGTATTTAAAGTATCTCAAGATACAAAGAAAACCCTCTTAGGTGGACCTACTAGTATCTGCAAAGAATCAGCCATCGAATTTTCTAGATTGGCACTAGATTCTTAATTTTATTTTTTTTTTTAAAGAAAATTTGTTTTTTTTTTGCGCAGAAAAATACAATTTTGTTGTGTACTGGTTTTTCTTAAGGAGTTTGTATTTAAAGTATCTAAAGATACAAAGAAAACCCTCTTAGGCGCAAAGAATCTGCAAAGAATCAGCCATAGAATTTTCTAGATTGACACCAAATTTTTTTTTAGTTTATTCCAGAAATTATGCAACTATGTATGTTGTTTCCGATTATTTTTGAAGCAACTTATACAACAGTCCAGGAACAAATTCAGTTACAAAGATTTTTCCTCATTTTGAAGGCTTTAGATTGTTCTGTTAGGATTGTTTCTGTCTTAAGGAAGCGAGAATATCATCAATAAACATTTTAAACTTCAACACATACTCTTCTATGTATTATGTTTCTTATATTCTTTGTTCTCTATTGAAAACAAAAGACTTTTCTGACGAGCACTTGTCAGGCCACGATTCGTTTTTCTGACAGATAATTATATTTTATAGTTTACGAAAAACCAGAGGCTGATTCTGATTCTGATTTCTATTCAGCGTGAAACGAATAATCAAGTTTCTTCTATGAAAAAGATGGACACACGTTGGACACGAGACAGGGCCTCAGCTGTCAAGAGCAGACGTTCTTTATGGGTTCGGAAATGATGGCCTCTTCCAACCAAAGAGCATAAATTCCACGAATCTGTGTTGATTGTGTGCATAATATTGTTTCTTGTTTATCGGTCCATGAATATGCACATCTACCATGTGGATGGGGGGTGGGGGGGAGGCGAAGGACGGTTGTCTTTTGGTGTATGATTATGGGTCTATTGTTACGGTGGGGGCACAAATGATACTTACAAGCACCGGAGCGGGTCTGATCCTGAAAAGCTGCATTTGGTGTGTAGCAGTGTGTGGAGAGTGTGTAGGAAGGCAAGTAGGAAGGAAGCAAGTCAGATGAGTAAGAGATAGTGTGGAGTTATGTAAATGAGCAGACAGTTAATTGTATAATGCATCCCATACTCGAGCTACACAAAGGAGCCCCCTGCTCGTACATATATTTTTCCCTATAGCCTATGCCATTTACCCCCAAAACTTCATTAGCTTATGCTCGTTATCTGCATAAATGCATTCGACTGCACAGGTTTTCGGTACGAGCCTTCTATTGTTTCAACTGGCGGTGGAGTGGGGCAGAGGTAATCCGTTTTGATACTTTGATTTCACAAATTGACAGGTAACACGAGTCTTCCACTCGATGCAATTAAAGTACTTAATCATGGCTCTTTTTGACAGCAAATTGAATAAAGCTTTGACGCAGTTAATGCTGTTATTTAACCCCCAAAGAATATGACAAGGGAAATGATGTTAAAAAAGTCCTCAAGCTAGTGAATTAATGGCATGATATAATTAACAACTAGAGCCCTAGATGAGAGATGCATTATTGTATGATTAGTAGGACGTATGCTATAACATAGAGATGTACATTGGAGTTGGGGTTGGGGGCGGAGGTCTTAAGAACTCACCTCGCAGGGTGGCGGAGCGCTACGGTACGAAGGAACTATCTTGAAGGTAACAGAACCGCGTGCCTCGCGCTGCAACGAGAAGGGATTAGCACATAAAGGGAATTGAATTCAATTAGCAAAATGGGATTGATCCGCTTACCAGCATTCGTTGCAATTGGCCCACCGACTGATGCTGCACCGGCTGGCCATTGATCTCCCGTATCTCGTCGCCCACATGCAGCGTTGCCTGTCGATGTATCATACCCCCGTGCATAATCCTTGCCACAATGCAGCGCCCATCCTCGGTCATCTTCAGCGTTATGCCCTGCAAAGTCGTTCGGCTCTGTATTAGAGTACTATTTGGTCACAATGTCTGTGGCAGTACTCACCATCGGCTCGTCCGTGTTCTTTTGGAACTGCACCAGCCGCACTCGGGTCACATGCTGCAGCTCGCCGCCCTCCACATTGTCCATCTCGTCGCCGTTGAGGTAGGGCACCATCGGTGGCGGGGTAACGCGCAGCGCCTCCTCGCCGTACACATCGCGGGCCACCACATCGTGGCTATGGAGCAGGGCCTGCAGGAGAGAGAACCCAGAACAAGGTCAGTCGTTGGTTTAGGGCTGGGCTTTGGGTTTTTTGGGCCTAAGTTATGGCCAGCAATTATGCCTGGCTAAGCGGCTGAAATTAAATTTCCGATTTGCCCACGCCTGCCACATACATCATAACCCACACAAAGACCTGGCAGATGGTTTGCAACATTAACTGGCGACGACATTTGTTCAACAGCCACAGCATTAAAAAACACAATGGTTATAGAGTTCTAGTTGGGCCAGAACGAAGCAGCCAATACCCTCATCGAATCCTACCCAAAGTCCTATGGCAAGGGTATTTGGAGCTGTTCATCTCCATTTTCCAACAGAAAAAGGGCACAAACATGACCTCATGACCCCTTCGAAGGAAACCCATAAACGACGCCCCCCCCCCTGTGCCGCCTGCTCTGCAGCTCCTTGAAGCGTATCAACAACAACAAAAAATCTCAACAATTTATGGGGAACCCTGTGCCCCCCACAAAACGGCTTTGACTTTATACAATTTCGGTTTTAATAAATTATGTTTAATAACACTTTGAATATGTTGCGAAATTAATTTTTGGCCAGGCCAAAACGGCAGCCACAACATGAAGGATATTCCATCCAGCCAGAGGGCAGGGCAGAAGTCGCATTGGGCTAGGCCATAAAAAAGGATTTTACTGCGTAGCCAGGCCGTGCCACTTGCCACACACACACACACACATAGAAATGCATATATAAGTGTGTATGCTAAGCACCACAACAACCACAATGCTAAGCCAGCAGTTATGTTGCCCCAATGCCCTTCACTCCACACCACTCGGCTCCCCCTAAATGCCCCTCTTAAGGCTCTTGTTCTTTATAACCTTCCAACCGCCCCCCGCCCCCTGGCAATCTACTGGCCCCATAAAAAACGCAATTTTCAACGCTGATGATTACTCAATGCCACAAACAGTGAGCCACGTAGCAGGCAGGCAGGCAGGCCCACGCACCACTCACCTCTATACACTGCCACTCATAGGTATACACACACACACACAGACACACACATATATGTACACCCTAATGCGTGCAGACGCACGTTTCATTTCCGTCACAGACGACGACAGTACTGACATCGACCTCAAGCTGGTGGCTGGCTCCTGCCACATTCAGTTGCAACTACAACGAATATTTTTGAGGGGTTTTTCAGTCACACTCCACATCTGCACAAGCCACAAGGAATGACATGAATTCCCGCAGTGTATGCCGTGTGCATAAATATTTCATAATGCTTCGTGGCAGAACGAAGAGCCCTCCCAAAAACATCACTCCATCACAGAGTTAGAACGAGACTTAGTACGACTTATACAATATGTGTGTGTGGTGTGTGGGGTCTTAACGTGTTTACCCAATATAGTTTTTTGGGGGGGGTGGGGTGGTGGACTGGGCCTGGGATTGACAGGTGGTAATCGAGTTTTGAGCTTATCAATAAATATCAATTCAATAATTCAATGTATTGGGGGAGAGCATAGAATATGTGTGAGATATCAAATTTAGTGGTCTTTGATTTGGAAATCCTTCCTTTTTTTTGGGATAAGCATGAAATGCTCTTTTGAGCCCCCCACACATCCGGCAAGCATTTGGCCATGTGATGTGGGTTCCAGAAAAACGAAACGAATGAAGGCTCCGATGCCATTCCCATTTGGTGTAGGGCACTCGAAATTTTAGCTTGAAAAAGAAAAGCAATAGGTGTGTTTTAGACACTTTAGAGAGAGGATGGATAGGTCTTTGGACACATTTAATTTCAGCATTAAAAATAATCTCCTTAAAACGAGGACTGCCTCTGTTCCTTCTGGCTTAAATATTGAATCTGAATCTGAATCAATTTGTTGTTGTCTGCTTAAGCAGCTTAAATATTTTGTCCAGTGAAGTGTAGTTGCACATCAAAGAGCAACAAATTTGGATTGCGATTTCCCTTCGAGCTAATCTTGCATTTCCTTAATAAAATATTTAATATAACCCTTGGTTCGCCCACAAAATCATTTAGCAATCGGAATGCCTTTTTTCTTCCCTGTATTTGTGCGCATTTAGCAGAAGTTTTGGCCAAATCCAATTAGCCAGCAAAACTTTCATCTGCCTATTAAGGACAGTTAGGAGGGGCTACACCTACTGCCACAGCCACGGCCTCTGTGACGCCTCTTTCGCTCGAGTGAACCATCAACAGGAGCAGCCGCAACAGAATTTCGACTAAATAAATGGGTAATACAATTTCCTCCGTCCTGAGACGAGAATTAACTACTTCGAATAAAATTTGCTGAACTTGGCAACTATTTAAATGCGCCAGATGGCGCTGCACAAGGACACGAAGGATACTCGACTCACGCCTGGTTAGCTTCGGTCTAAGCTGACAGCCCGGATGGAGGGCCTCAGTGCGGGCGATAAACAACGTAATCTGATTTCACTTAAAGCATGTCCTCCCTGCCACGCCCACTGTCCACTTTGGTTGGACACTTTCGTGGTGCGGGTGGGGGTATGGGCTGGGGGTAGGGAAAAGCATATTTAACACCAAGTTGTTGGCCCAATAAAACGGTAAATTTAATAAGCGCTTGACAGGCGGGACAGGAAAAGTTGAGCAGTTAAGTTTAATGCCTCATTAGGCGCTCCAACTCGGTGACATTGATAGGCCACCGCCAGCAAAGTTTGGCCAACAAATGAGGCCACACAAACACACACAGAAGAAAGAGTAGGCCCTGGCCCCACTCTGACTGGGACTCTGATTTCCATGATTAATACTTAAGTGCTTGTTAAAGTTGGGTTCTATATGCAGATATGCCTTGTCGGCATCCTAAACAATCAAAGCCAAAAGCCCATCCAACCATCCATCCTGCTGCCGACTAGAAAAAAGGGATGCCAAAAACAAAACGGAACTGTATGAGATGCCTCCCCAAACAGAACTGTAGGGGAAGAAAGGTGGCCTCCCAAAACTGAACTGTAGTGGAAGAAAGGGTGACCCCAACACAGAACTTTAGTGGAAGAAAGGGTGACCCCAACCAAAACTTTAGTGGAAGCAAGGGTGACCCCAACACAGAACTGTAGTGGAAGAAAGGGTGAACCCAGCACAAAACTTTAGTGGAAGCAAAGGTGACCCCAACACAGAACTGTAGTGGAAGAAAGGGTGACCCCAACACAGAACTGTAGTGGAAGCAAGGGTGCCCCCCCAAGCTGATCTGAACAGAACTACAACCTACATCTTTCTCCTCTACACCACTGAGGCTTCAACACAACTAACTCTTAAATGATTCAGGTGGCAAAAGTTTAGCGGAAACTTTGCACAAATCTTTGACATGATGCAAACTTTTCCAGAGTTCTTGATATTTTTATACAGCCTTAACTCGCAGCTGAACTCTGGCGGGATGCGAGTGAAACATTGAGACAAGTTTTGGGCGAATTAAATATGGAATGAAAAAGTAACAGGGCATGGAAAAAAATCTATTAATATTTGAAAAGAGAAACTTGTAAGGCCTTGGCCTTTAATCGGTACAGAAGCACAGAGCTCTGTTTAATATTCTAGAATACGTTTCCAATAGGTATAATCCCTTTACTATCCATCGTCAGCTTTTTTCCAGCTTTATTTCCATCACTGGCTGCCCCTGCCCCGTCCCCGGCCCTGGCCCCACTCCAGCTGCTGAGTCAGGTCCATTGTTATCCGTCAGTCCATGGTCCTGGTCCTGGTGCTGGCTCTGGTCATTTTTTTTGCAGCTTTATGCTAAGCCACTAACCAAAGGACGAAGCCACGAAGCCACCATCCCAGAGGCCTCTGGTTGTGGGAGACCTCACACCCACCACACGAACGTTATTTGTTGGTTTTAATAATTACACAGCCCTGGCCAGGACAGCAGCAGCATCAGGGGAGCACAGGAGACTGGCAGGCGGGCGGGCAGGGAAGTGTTCCGAGAGGAAGTGTTCTAGGATTTTACTCTCTTTAATATTCCAGGCCACACGTCAATTACACACGTACGCGCGACTGCGAATGGCTTTCACATCCATTTCCCGGCTAATGGAGGCTGCAGATTGTTGGTAAAAACAGATAGGAAAACTCTACACAGTAGAGTGGGTCGGGCGGGCGGGCGGCCCGTTGACAGCTGAATCATCTGGATTAATGGCGAATTTTAATTAGTACAACGTGCAGCGGTCGGTGGTCTCAACCCACCAGACAGGGCATCCCCCCACCACCCCCCCGCTAGAGCAGACTTTCAGCCAGTTAATCTGGTCTCATGGCCAGGTTCACTCGGATAGTTTGTGGCATTTGGCACCTTATCTGTATAGGAGCAGGGCCTGGGCCCCCAGGAAAGGGCGCATACGTGTACAGGACATGTACGATATGTATGTAGAGGGGGGGGGGGGAGACCGCAAATGAATCTCCTGCATGATTAATTTCTGCTTAACCCTCACTTAACCACGAACAAAAAAAACACAAGCAGCAGAGAAGGGTTAAGATTACACTTGAATGGGGATATGATATATGATAATAAATCCCAAGGTTTAAACAAATAAAGCAGAGTTTTCTTGTCTGACTTTAAATATGCCCACACTTTGTTGTAGATGATCATTCCCCTGTCAGATGTGTAGAATCAGGTAATATATCAGATGTTTAAGAGGTTCTACCTTGTCTCGCCTCAGGCACGAAGTACCCTCTGCAACAAACAAGAAAACCAAACACCCAAAAAAGCACAAAAAGTTGTTTAAAGTTTGTTGATGGCCCCGGACCGTGGCTGTCAAGCTGTCAGGTTTGGCTCAGGTTGCGGTTGCCCTATCTGTTCGTGTCGTGTGTGTGTGTGTGTGTGGGTGTGTCTCACCCTTGGGACAAAAGGCGAAAGGGGTTTTGGAGCTGAAACTTTACACTATCAGAACTTATCACTTGGGCAAACTTATTGTTGTCTGATCGACTACACTTCCACTTCCGGTTCGGTTCGGCTTGCTGCTTGGCTGACAACCACCGAGACACAGTCTTACAGTTAACATTG